TTCCAATCGTGCTCCATCAGACACAAATCAAAAACCTTTCACGAACATAATAGGAGGGAAGCATATAGCTAAAATAAAGAAGCGAAATGGCAGACCGATAGAAACAAATATCAAAAGCTGGCTGGTTGATGGCTGAGAATTACCTTGACAGAGAGAAGCTGCTAGTGGAGTTTTCGCTGAAACGCTTTCGTGGGTCTGTGTGATTTAAACTGCCTTTTATACGCATAACGCAGAAAGTGATTTCGTTTGCTGGCGTGAATCGAGCTTGGGTTGGTAGCTGAAATTACCTCGACAGAGAGAAGTTGATAGTGGCATTTCTAGAGGAAGCACTTTAACACCCCAATTTCTTCGTTAGAACATTACAGCCGCCGACGTCGAATCTCAGACATGGAGAGCAGGAGGATATGGGTGGATCTAGCTACCTCCGACACAATACCTATTCGACACTGAATTTGCCCACTGACATCCACTTGGACATCGTCCAACCACTGACATGCAAAACAACCGTTTGATCCTAGCTTCCCAATGAAAGGAGAGGACGGAGAACGACGATAGAGATGAAGGGAGCGGAGGAAGGGCCCTCTACGAAACATTTAGGCCAACAGTGGTAGACGACTAATGTATCAATCCTTAGCCTTTCTGACAATCATTGTTATCCTTATCACCCAACATTTTACTAAACCCATTACCTAATACCTATTGCAAATTTTAGGTAGAGTTCCTAGTAAAGTACACAAATCCCCCTACAACAATTTAATCAGAACCACTGGTTAGACATTCACTCATGGCAAATTTGAGAAACTGGTGCAAAACTCTACCATCCTAAATTTGAAAATAGTCAAGTGTAAAAATAATTTAAGTCCATCCAACTATACCTGAAATAATAAGGGATCCCACAGTACATCATCATATACAACTAACATTGCTATGTAAGTTAAGCATTCTAGGCAGGGGCGGATACATGGGCCTCTAGGGGTGTCCCGGGACACCCCTAAAATTTGGGGAAACGATTATCCAACCTCCGGTAGTAATTTCGTATGTGTATACGAAATATAATTGGTAATCCGGGACACCCTAACATTTGAAAAAATGATTATCCTACCCTCGATAATAGTTTGCTTATGATTAATAAAATATAAGTGGTAATCCGTGTTATTCCAACCTAGGACACTACTATTATCAAACATATTCCAATTATGTTGCTACTCATTTGTTATTCTATTTTAAACATCATGCAACAGTAAAACGCTATTTCTTTATCCCCAACTATTTTCAATAGCTAATAATTAAACTACGTACACGCTACCCTTAATTTTGAATTGATTTTATGGTTACATGGCAAGTGTTGAAAGAGTCTTTTCTACTTTGAGCTACATTAAGAACAATGTTAGAAATCGAATATGTGATAAGTTCGTGAAGTATTGTCTAGTAGGATATGTAGATTTTTTGAACAGTGCAGACACGGAGTTTATTTATATTATTTTTTTAAAATATGAATTTTAATTTATTATTTAATAAAATTTTTATAAAAATTATACAAGTATGATATTTTTAATATACGAATTATTTAATTTATTATATAATTAAATTTAATTTTTGAAGAGGACACCCCTGTGAAAATTTTCTGAATCCGCCACTGATTCTAGGAGCTAGGAAATATGTAGCGTAATGTAGTAGTGTTGCAACTTGATTAGAAGATAGAGCCATAGATAAAAGAGGGGAAGAGATAGTGTATATATATAGTTATTGTTAGAAGGCATGATGATTTGCATGATGCTCCATGCATAAAAAGAAATGGAGTCACAAACTTGGTGAAGTATTCATACAAAGTGACTTAGCAAAATAAAACGTGTAGGTATAGAGAAACACACAATCCACTCAGCTATAATGCGTATAAAGTCATCGATAAACCTAATTGAACATTCATGAGCATAAACATTCAAAAACTCGATCATCTGTGCATCACTTTCTGAATTCACATGGACCTTCCTCTTTAGTGACTCGACTAAAGGTGTTGCAATATAATATCATGGTTTGCTTGATCAATTTTGGTGCATTTGGCAGCAACAAGGTCACCAACTTCATGAACAATAAAAATGAAGGTATCTCACAGAGAGTGAGCCAACCCATGGTATCCCAAAACCGAAGCAGGAAACTTTGGGCATTCTCATTTAAAAAGAACACCAAAAGGAAACACATGTTTATTTTGTGAGACAACTTATCCTGCTGCCACTCACCAATACAAACTAAAAAAGCACATCTCATGAGAATATGTAAAGCATGGTAAGGCTTATCCCACCACTGCTAATGTCACAGTCTGCCAGTCATGACACCTTCCAAATTGAAAGCTGAAGGAAAGAGCAAAGTACCAACTTGCACGCCACGACGGAGGGAGACAGTGCAAGTGGCACCAGCAAATCCGACGATGGCTAAAGCCGAAAGCTTGATTAGAAAACTCAAAAGCGAAAATAGGGGTGGTGGGATCCTGGGACGAAGAGGGGCAACCCGGTCTCCCGAAAACAGGGGCGGAGAGAATAGTAGGAGAACATCGAATGTGAGGTTTCCAAAGGGTAACATTAGTGCGACATGCCTGTAATTCAAACATGGAGAATAGAATACAAAGAACAAAACAAAAAATGAAACACAACAAAAAAGGAACAATAAGAAACTGAACATAAAAGAATAGAAAAATGAACCACGATGGAAATCAACAACAAATAAAGCCCGCAAAAGAAAAAGGTTAGATAAAATCGACTGAAGGTGAGCGAATGACATGCCCACAGTTCATAGCACCGGATCTGAACATCCCGACAACAGATGAAGTTGTGACTGGTTAGCGAGCCTCCATTGTCCTTTGTTCCTCTCCAACCAGAATTGCGAACTATTCGACGTCAAAATCGAGCGCGTGGCCCTCTAGCTGGTTCCCCTTTTGCTGTTACTCGGTTGCCATTCACTCAGTCTTGGAGAATAGCGTCGTCGACTATATCCATCAACAGGGAGCAATCCAGAACGGGAACTGGAGAATCCGAGTAGAGAAGGCCCAATAGGCGGAAAAAATCCCAAAGTACACTAGTTCTTAAAAAAAATTCCCAAAATACATAAGTTATAAAAAAAATTCCAAAAGTACACATGTTTGAGCATCACCGTTTGAGACAAAAGCGGTGAAGGTCATCACCGCTTTTGACCAAAATGGTGAATACTTCACCGTTTTAAACTAAAACGGTGATGTATTCACCGTTTCAAACTAAAACGGTGACTGCTTCACCGTGGGAGAGCAAAACGGTGATTGCTTCACCGCGTGAGAGCAAAACGGTGAAGCACTGAACTGCGTCCAAACTTTAAAACAACGTAACTTTGTGCTCGGTTATCCGATCGTAGCGAATTTTTTTTGATTCCGCATAATTTTTCGATCGGATAACCGAGCACAAAGTTACGTTGTTTTAAAGTTTGGACGCAGTTCAGTGCTTCACCGTTTTGCTCTCACGCGGTGAAGCAATCACCGTTTTGCTCTCCCACGGTGAAGCAGTCACCGTTTTGCTCTCACGCGGTGAAGCAATCACCGTTTTGCTCTCCCACGGTGAAGCAATCACCGTTTTGCTCTCACGCGGTGAAGCAATCACCGCCCTTCTCTGACGCGGTGAAGGCCCAAACATGTGTAGATTGTGAATTATTTTCATAACATGTGTATTTTGAGAATTTTTTTTAAAAACATGTGTAACTTGGGATTTTTTCCCCAATAGGCGAGGTCACACAAAAGAGATTTTGAATTTGCTCACCGACGAACCAAAATTGGAATCCCCACCTCTGGCCGTCGCAACTCAGAAACCTAGATCTTCCCCTTTCGTCGCTTGATACCCGAGTTTCCTTTGCCGACGAAAAAAAACAAAGGAACTGATGCGAAGGGGAAGAGGAAGCCTCTGGATTTTGTTGTTTTGCAAATAAATACAAATTAAATGAGAACGTGGGCCTGGAAGGAGAAAAAGGTGGGTAGTGGACAGTTTTTTGGTTCAGGCGGGACTCCTTTTTTTTCCGCTTAACACTCTGCCACATCAGCTTCCTAAAATCACTCTATGGGCAGGAAATTTTGAATGGGGGGTGCAGTTTTACTTTTCAGCTATAAATTATACTGTTGATTAATCATGTTTGATTAATTGTGGTATCAGTTTGTTATTTTCCCTTATGGGCTACGTTTTACCCTAGTTACTTGACAAAGGGTATATATATTAGTCTTTGGCTGATCAGCCTTTGTAACTTTGACGGCACAACCATTGTTTGCTGGAACTTAGTGAAAACCCTATCTGAGAGCTTGCTCTCCGTGAATTAGTCCTGTTCTATTAAATAGGGATACCACGTAAATCTCGTGTCCGTTATTTCCGCGTTTTACTTCTTTTCATTACAAAAATTGCTTCGTCAACCTACACTGAATGAGTGATGATTGAAAGTAGAAAACCTAGTTATTTTCACAAACAAATGCATTGCATATGCTAAAAAAGAGCGGCCATGAGTCCATGTGCATGAAATGTAACATTTCAATGTAGAAGCAGAGGCACAGCCAGGGTGTCCTTTTTCCAAAATATAAAAAAATATTTAATAATCTAATAATAAAATAACAGTATTTAAACAATTTTTATTGAAAAAAATAACTCACTAATACAATTGTCATTTTTTATATACAATCGTTACATGTTTCTTATTAAGAAACAAGTGTAAAATACATTTTTACGTTGTTAGGGAGTACGAGTGAGTAAAAAAAGAAGAAGAAGAGAGAGGTCCATTAATTGAGAATTTGATGTAATTTAGGAGTCGTTTGCTTCAAGGATTTGCATCATGGATATGGTATAAAAAAACCAATCATCATGGATTTACACACAATCCGTTGTTTGTTTTGTCAAAAAATGTTTAGATAAATCTGTGGGCCCCACGGATTTGGGTTTTTTTTAGCTCCAAATCCATGGGCCCCACGGTTTTATAAATCCCACCTCATATCCTGGGATTTGGAGACAAGTTGAAAAACCATGCTCACCTCATCAAATCCATGATAAAAATAGCTCAACAAACAAAGGATTTCCTCAAATCCATAATGCACAAAATCCCTAATAAATCCCAAAGTTTTTAATTAGCAAATCCATGACAAAACCCTCGTTTTAAATTCCTTGAAGCAAACTACCTTAGCTTAAGATGTTATATTCTTATTCAGAATATGAAATGTTACCACCACTACAAAGAATGATATCCTTCTTTTTTTAGGTTTACAATTGATTGTCCATGGTTAAAAAAAAAAAAACTTTCAAGTACTACAGTAGTACAAAACTCTTTTAAGATCTTTAGAGGGTACAGAGAATTGTTGAGGTGGGATTTTTGGAGTTGAACCAATGGAAAACGGACACGCAACCTATACAAAGTCCCCAGCTGCCTGCCAATCCAGTCTTCTTCAACCGTAGCCGACTACTACAGTATAGTAATAGTATCCGATACGGCCACTGTTGCCACGTCGGGAAATCTACAGCCAAAGCCCGGCAGCAGAGCAACCCGCAGCTACGTACTTAAAAGATGGGCGCAATCTTTTTGGGATGGTTGCTGCTGTACGGGATCCGGATCAACCGCTGCAACTGCAAGCCTGCAACGTCGTTGATCATGATTGAAGAGTTTACGAGGTCAGATGTACGGTCACGATTTGTGTTTTCTCCGGAATTAAACGATGGATATCCAAATCGATGGCGGACCAAGAAAATAAAGTAAAATAAAAATTATATTATTCTTAAATATGGAAATACTCCGCCCATACAAGTTAAAAAAAAGTCAACGATGTATTTTCATATTAAAAAAAAAAAATTATAAAATACACTTGGTGTCTACACTGCTCAACAAATTTGTCTCGGTATATCCCACTAGACAATCATTCACGAACTGACGCATATTTGACTTCTAAATTTGTTCATGATGTAACTCAAAGCCGAATAAACACTTTCGACGCTTTTAGTACAGCCATAAAATCAATACATTGTAATTATATTAATTGTTGGGTTTTGAAAATAATTAAAGATAGAGAATAAGATTTTGCTATTACACAATGTTTAGAATATAACAACAAAAAAGTTGTAGCCAAATGAAAATTACATTTATTAGTAATAGTAGTGTCCTGGGTTTGACTTACTCTAACTACCACTTATATTCTCATACGCAAACCACAAACGAGAATAGTATAATCATTCTTTCAAATTTCAGGATGTCCCGAATTATTAATTATAATTTTTTTCTTGTCTATACGTAGATTACCATCGAGAGTTGGATAATCGATCTTTCAAAATTTAAGGAGTGTCCCGGGACACCCTAAATGGCCCTGGATCCAATAGGAAGGGGGACAGTGGAACAAAGTTTATTGATGAACAGTGAAACCGAATCTGTGTGGCAGCAAGAGTCAAAGATTCATTTTCTGTAAGGATACGGACGGTTGAAGACGACAGTGAAGAAGAAGAAGAAGGGCAGTAGTAGTAGTAATTAATGTATAGTGTGAATGTGATGGATGGAAATTAGGGGTCGTCCTTTGTCCCCGTTGTAGGACGCACGACCTCCCCTTTCTTCCTTCTCTCTGCCTCTGCAGCTCCTTCCTAAGGTCTACTATACCTTTAGACTGGACTCATGATGAGATCAAAGAATTCATATACGAGTTAACAACAAAATTATCTAAAACCCTGTTGTTCTAAGTCATTGTATGTGGCAACTGATACCCCGGTTCGAAACACATTGGGAGCGCAGATAGTCGAGCAGGTTTAGAGGGAAATTGTGTTGTTATATCTAGTGGTGGTTCCTGATTTGTAATTAACGTTGAGATCCGATGAAGCTTGCTTTTTTTTTCTTCTGTTGTCATGCAGATCTATCACTATGAGAAAATATACAACGTCTGTTTGTTGTGACTCGTGAAATGTAACTACATAATCATGAAATATAGTGAATTTTATCATAGAAGAGTGTGGATTAAATTGTTCGGACGGAACAATGGTCTCATTTAATAGAAGATGTGTTAAGAATTCAGATACGAGTTAACTACAAAATAATATAAACTCTGTTGTTCTACGTAGTGGCAACTGATACCCCGCCCGGCTCAAGCGAGCGAGGCCGTGGTAGAATGGTCGTATCGCAGGTTTTCAGCCTTGAGCCCCCAGTTTCAAATCCCAGGGACGATGTTCGTTTCCCCCTTCCCCCACCCCTCTAGTAGTACCTTGTAACAGGTCTCTGTGCACAAAAAAAAAAAAAATTATCCCACTCAAAACAAATTGGGAGCACAGATATTTAAGCATGTTAGCTAGTGAAATTGTATTGTATTTCTCTAGTGGTGATTCTTAATTTGTAATTACTATTGAGGTTCGATGAAGGCATGAAGCTTCTTTTTCTTTTTGTCATGTACATCTATCACAATGAGAAAATATATGACATCTGTTGTAACTTGGGAAATATAACTACATATAGTCAAATCCGTTTAACACATAAGATTTATGATACACAGTCTTATTATAAGCGCAACCTACGAATTGAAAGCACAATATATTACAAGTAAGATATTTCATATTTCTTCAAGAATCGCTTCTCCTTGTGCATCCATCACCTAAAAGTCGAGACACTCGTTCATCTATCACCAGCTTGACATCCCACAGAAGAGAACCTCCACAACTGGCGGGCTGGACAATGTATGTCTAAACTGGGCCTTGTTTGCCATCACCGCACAACATATCCATAATAGCCTGATATTGGACAGTTCGGCCCAAATATTGTGACCCAATTTACGGCCCATCGGTAATTTAGTATGGATCAGATCCATTCCGAATGTATCGTCCCTGTATTAACTTGGGCTACATCGCCTTTTGTTCTGGCAGTTGTATTGTCGTAAGCTTGGGTGGGTGATCAAAACTGAGCATGATGAAATAAGATAACAGGAATTATGAGTTAACTGTTTTTATTAATAGGATTTTCACCATACTTTCTACAACAAAACCAGAGAGAGAAAGCTTGGGAGAGAAAAGGCTCCCTCCTCTCTCCTGTTTCTCTACCGGTCGCATTTATGACCGTTGAAGCCAAGCCTCCGTCCGAGGAGGCGGACCATTGCCTTAAACCGCCTGATGGCTCGCCGGCGAGCTCGCCGACCCAGCCAACGAAGAAGTCCAAGTGCATCGAAAGCAATGGTAGCCCTGGCCAAGCGGAAAGGGATTTTCCCGTCGTCACTGCCAGAGAGCACCAGCAGAGTAAATTGAAAAGTGAAGCTGAACAGCCCACAGAGAAGGGAGAGCAGAGCATCCCAATGAATATGAGCCCACGGAGGGGAACGTATAAAGATAGAATGCTGGGTAACACCCCGCCGCCGGAATTCTCGGATGGGGAAGAGCTAATGTCCGATGAATCAGAAGGGGAAGATAGAGATGACGACCCAGATTGCCCGACGATTAGGGTTAAGAAAAGCACGAATGCCAGAATGAGAAAAATTTGGCACAGAGCGATTACCTTCAGAGTTTTGGGTACTGTGTTCCCCTTTTCCTTCCTCCAACGAAGGGTGATGAAGATGTGGGCCAAAACCGGAGGAATCAAGATTGGTGACATCGGTAATGGATACTACCAAGCAATTTTCGACTCTCAGTTGGATCACGATCGAGCCTTGTACGGAGGACCCTGGACAATGGAAGACCATTACATCGTTGCAGAACCATGGAGGCTCGACTTTGATCCAGACTATGACACAATCGACAGAACCTCGGTTTGGGTAAGACTTCCCAGATTGCCTCTTGCTTACTTTGATGAGGAGATCCTTTACAGTATAGGTGAGAAACTGGGGAGAGTTGAAAAGATTGACTATAATACAGCTAATGGGTTCCGAGGGAACTATGCTAGAATCTGTGTGGAAATCGATCTTAGGAAGAAATTGGTTTCGAAATATAGACTGAAGAGAAGAGTGAGAAGAGTTGAATACGAAGGATTACACATTGTCTGCTTTGAGTGTGGCCACTATGGACATAAAGAAGAGAAATGCCCAATCCGCCTGGAGGGTACTGTTCTATCACCAGAAGAGAAGTCCAAAGATCAAATGATGCCCAGTCCAAACCTGGAAGTCAGACCAGAAATCACTGAGGACTTTGGACCCTGGATGTTGGCTACACGAGCTAGAAGAAGAAGACAGCCAATGAAAAAAACTAACAACAACTACAAGAAGGAAGAACAACAAAAGAATGCATCAGGCTCCCGTTTTACTACTTTAGAGGAAGAAGAAGAAAGGAATGAGGAAGGGGAGGTAGCAGAAGAAGAACAAGAACATAATGATCAGAATGAGACTGAGAAAGCATACCAGATGGAGGTGGATGGAACGGAAGGTGGAAATATAGGGAAGGAAGAAAAGAAACAAGGGGGGAAGAAGAGTAGAGATACTCCACAGGAAGAAGGAAAAGAGATAAAGGAGAAAAAAAGGGATGACAAACACAGTAAGGAAATGAACAGGAAGGGGAACCAGAAGACCACCCCTGAGAATAACACCCAGAAAACAGTGGGTAGGACACAGATTGTGAAGCCTCAGCAGGAGGCAGCCATTCCATCTAAAGAGACCAAGGCATGAAAGAAAAATGAAGAGGGACCACCTGTCCATCTAAAACAATCTCAGAACCAAGGTGAAACAAGCAAACCCAGCAGCAGCGACACAAAACATGGAAAGGGCAAAATTTCGTCTGTTGGTGCCATAAAATGCCACCAACCAAAGATGAGAGGCATGTCCTCTGGGAAGAAGCTAAAGAGGGATTGAAACCAAAACCACAACCTCCAGAAAATGGGGTTAACCAACCCAGAAAGCTGGATTTCAAAACCAGTCCAGGGAAGGAGGTCCCAAAGCCAGAAAATGCTACTCCACCAAAAGCAACTGATGCCAAAGGGGAGTTGAAGGAGAATGAGACGGCAATGGCCGTCGACGATGTTCCATCCTGACCTTCTGGTCATGCCAGGGAGTAGGAAGACGATGTTCCATACAGAAAATTCTAAGTCTTCTCTTGGAATTGCAGGGGTGCAAAGCACCCTAAGTTTCTACCTACTTTTGAATTATATAAAAACCTCTACAAACCGAATATTGTCTGTATTTTTGAACCTAGAATTAGTGGTAATGATGCCCTGGATGTTATTAAGAAGATGGGGTTTGACTCCCATTGTATCTCTTATGCAACAGGGTTCAGTGGGGGGATTTGGGTCTTGTGGGACAGCACTCAGCTCAGTTTGGAGGAGGAGGACAAGCAGAAGCAGTACATCCACTTTAAATGCTCACGGAGTAGGAAGACTTTCTGCCACTTCTCAGCCATCTATGCAAGCCCTCGCGATTTTGAGAGAATGGATCTGTGGGATGCCCTTAGAAGCTTTGGTAGACGTACCAACATCCCCTGGATGATCACTGGGGATTTCAACTCCATTACCAACTCGTCAGAGAAGGCAGGAGGGGCACCTTTCAACCATGCTAAGACCAGGGACTTCAATGAATGCATCGAAGACTGTGGACTCCTTGATATGGGTTTTTCTGGACCAAACTTCACCTGGTTCAAGAGCTCAGGGAGAGTTAAAGAAAGATTAGACAGAAGCCTCTGCAACCTTGAGTGGCACCAGCAATTCCCTGAGTCCAATGTCATTCACTTGACACGGCTGAAGTCAGACCATCGCCCTCTCCTTACTTGCTCCACAAGACAACACAGTGAAGCTAACCTGGTGAGACGCTTCCATTTCCTCGCCCCTTGGCTTACCCATGACAATTTCTTTCCTTTCCTCAATGAGAATTGGAAAGCTGGCAACGATTTCCTTCCCTCCTTGCAGGTCCTTGCGTCAAAGCTTCAGGAGTGAAACAGAAAGGTTTTTGGCAACATTTTCAGGAGGAAGAAGATCCTTCTCAATAAGCTGAACTCCCTGGAATTTCTTAATGAAAGGAGACCCACTTCTCGTTCGCTGGAACAAGAAAACACAACAAGGATTGAGCTGGATCAAACACTTTGGGAGGAGGAACTTTTGTGGATCCAGAAATCAAGATCAAACTGGTGGACTCATGGAGATAGCAACACACATTTCTTCCACAACAGCGCCTTGTGCAGACGAAAGAAGAACAAGATCATCACCCTAAAGGACTCCCTGGGAAACTGGATTGAGGACCCTGCTGCCCTGCAAAGTATGGCAAGGGACTTCTTCATCAACCAGTACACCAAAGAGAACAAGGACTCCTGGCCATCCATTCCCGCTGACTTCCCATGCCTCGAGAGTGAAGTTTTGGACAGGACTAAATGCCCCCCAAGCCCCGAGGAGATTAGAATGATTATCAAGAACATGAGCCCCCTTAAAGCACCAGGGAAAGATGGTTTCCAAGCAATCTTTTTCCAAAAGTGCTGGGATTATGTGGGAACTGACCTGATCAGATTCGTTTTATCCTGTTTTGACTCACCTGAGCAAATCAGGAGGGTGAATGGCACCCTTCTAACCCTGATCCCTAAAATTGACTCTCCCTCTTCCATGACTCACTTTAGACCTATTAGTTTGTGTAATGTGAGTTATAAAGTGGTGGCAAAATGCCTAGCTGAAAGGCTCAAGCATCTGATGCCCCACCTTATCAACCCTAACCAAACTAGTTTTGTTCCTCAACGTCATATCACTGACAATATTATCATATTGCAGGAAACTGTCCACTCAATGACAAGAAGGAAAGGGAAGAAAGGAGCAATGGTGATCAAAATTGACCTCGCAAAAGCTTACGACAGACTGGACTGGGACTTTTTGAAAGAAACACTGGATGCAACCAGGCTGCCTGCTGCTTTTGTGGAGATGACCATGAAATGCGTGACCACCACAGAGCTCCAGGTGTTGTGGAATGGAGGAGAGACAGACAGCTTCACTCCCAGCAGGGGGCTTCGTCAGGGATGTCCACTCTCCCCTTACCTCTTTACTTTGTGTATTGAACGTTTGAGTCATAGTATTGTTAATGAGGTTAAGAACAAGTCCTGGAAACCCATGACTCTCTCACCAAAAGGCCCCCCCTTGTCCCACCTTTTCTTTGCGGACGACTTAGTCCTTTTTGCTGAAGCTTCCCCCACCCAGGCTACTTGTTTGCTGTCGTGCCTTAATAGGTTTTGTGAATCATCAAGGGAGTTGATTAGCAAAGATAAGTCTCGCATTTACTTCTCGCCTAACATTAAAAGTGATGTGAGACAGACCATTTGCAATGTTCTTGGTATTCAATCCACCAATGACTTAGGGAAATATCTTGGGATCCCAGTTCTACATGGGAGAACCACTAGGAATACCTATAGGTACATTTTGGATAAAATTGATAAAAGACTTACAACCTGGAAACCCAAAACCTTATCCCTTGCTGGTAGAGTCACCCTTGCCCTCTCTATCCTAAATGCCATTCCCACCTATGCAATGCAAACTGCTATCCTCCCTGCCTCGGTTTGTGATGCAATTGATAGGAAGGTTAGATGGTTTGTTTGGGGCTCACAGGAAGGAAGGAGGTAAGCCCACCTTGTTGCTTGGGAAACCATCTGCAAACCTAAGAACCAGGGAGCGCTTGGTCTTAAGTCTGCTAGAAGTCTTAACTTAGCCTACATGATTAAGATCGCCTGGCTCATGTTTAATGACGAAAAAGCTCTTTGGGTGCAGGTTTTACAGGGGAAGTATTTCAATCACAAGGATGGAAGGATTGTCTCCATGAAAAAAAGTAACCATTCAAGTTTGTGGAAAGCTGTCCTGAGAGCCATGCCACTGATGAAACAAGCTACTGCCTGGAGTATTTGTGATGGAACTACAACTGGCTTTTGGACTCACCCCTGGATCAACCACGAAACCATCCTCGAGGACTTTCTTCAGGAAGACCTCAGTGAGGAGGACCTGAACTCATCTGTTGCGGAGTGGACCACAGAGGAAGGAACCTGGGACTGGAGAAGGCTCAACAGTCTCCTACCTGATGAGATCCTGGCCTTAATTGCAGGCACTGATGTCCCTCTACCAGGCTCGGGGGAAGACAAGCATAGATGGGGCATAGAACAAGACGACAATTTCAGTCTCAAGTCTGCTTACTGCCTTGCATCAGACGCTCTTGGGAAGGAGGAAGATGCGATCTGGAAGGGGATATGGAAGTGGAAGGGACCGAGCAAGATTAAGCACTTCATGTGGTTGGTGACTCATAACAGGTTGATGACAAACAAAGAAAGAGCAAAACGTGGACTGACTACCAACAACAACTGCCCTCACTGCAACAACACGGAAGAAACGGTGGAGCACATCCTCCGTAGATGCAAAAAGACCGAGGGTGTTTGGAATCACTTCAATTTTTTCATCACTGCTCAGGACCCCAGCCAGGACTTCAAAACATGGCTGCTCAACAACATGAAAGATCAGAGCAAAGGGACGGAATTTGGGATCATCTGTTGGTGTTTATGGAAGCAGAGGAATGAGGAAGCTATGGAGGGGAAATCCTTCTCTGAAACGGGCCTTATTAAAAGAATTTCTGCCTGCTTTACTATCAACACCAATGCTGTGACTAACTCGGCTTGTATTGGCCTGGTCAAAACTTCCAACAGAGAAAGGAGGTTCATCTCATGGAAACCACCCAAGGAAGGATGGATCCAACTGCAAAGCGATGGAAGCTACAAGAGCTCCAACCGAAGTGCTGCTGCTGGAGGATTGCTGAGAGATCATCTTGGAAAGTGCACTGCAGCCTATGCTTGTAACCTGGGATCCTGCACCATCACTAGGGCCGAGATCAAAGGTGCGGTTGAAGGGTTAAATATTGCATGGGAAAAGGGATGCAGGAAAGTGGAAGTCAATCTGGACTCGAATACAGCTGTGAGTATTTTGAAAGGGAAGGGAGACACCAGCAGCAACCATGGACTTCTTGCGCTTCAAGCTAAAGAATTCCTCAGTCGTAGCTGGAATGTTAATATTAATCATGTTTATAGGGAGTGTAACTCTGCTGCTGATTTCTTAGCTAGCATGGGGCATGATCTCCATATTGGCACGCATCAGCTTGATACGTGTGACCCCAAACTCCTGTATTGGCTGAACTATGACGCTAGGGAAACTTCCCAAGAGCGCGATATTTTAATATGATTCTGGATGCTCTGCATCCGTCCTCGTACCAAAAAAAAAATACACCCGGAGTTTCTGGCATAACAAAGATGGAATACTTGGACGGGTAAAGCCTGAACAAATCTCTCCCACAATCACTGGGTCTCCTTCTTTGAATCTCCTTTCAGAATCCATGTATCTGTTTTTGTGGAAAGATAATGTTTGGTATAAATGATAAATCCATGTGTTGTGTAGAAACCTATGTATTTTTGTAGATGGAAATTGTAAGAATGTGTGTAATGTCAGAGTACAATGTTTGGTTTCTAAACGACCAATCCATGTAATCAATACCGTGGGAGCAAAGATGCAAGAAGTAATTGATCATTGTGGGTTACCGTTAAACTCCATTGCCAAAAAAACCAATATACCAGAAGCAATGCAACTTTTTTCAGAGGAGGGAGTTGAACTGAGATTGGCCCGCCATTTCTTCATCTGATGAAGAAAGCGTTGCAACTAGGACTCAGTTACGTGCCAAGTCCTGGACTCGTTCTCATACGAGATCTTAAAGTCATTGATTGGCGCTCTTTGCTGGAGGCTTAAATGCACCCAAATATGCATAAGACCAATTACTAGTTACTACTCTGTACTCACCCCTACTAGGAACTGGAGTTTGATGGAGGCTTAGAGATGAAATTTCCAGTTTTTAACGTCGCTAACCATTAAAAAACAACAACAACAAAACAATAAGTAGTAATGGGGTTTGTTTTGACAAGAAAGAGAGTTATGATGGTTATAAGTATGGTTGTAATACTACCTCTATGGCTGCCGGTACAATCGTGTTTAACAAGTATTGGTAAAATATCCACACGAAGACCATCGATATGGAGAGGTAGTAAAAATGATACAAAAATTGTCAAAACCGAGAAATCGAGTGCTTCGACCACAATGATAAATTTTGATCGCTAAAAAATTGATGTCATTTTGGTGAAATTAATTAACAAAAGAAAGGAATTCGTTGGATTAAAGTATGGACATTTACCTTCGAAGATAAACTCAATACGAGTTAGCCCATGTATTCCATCGGGTCGAGGCTTCATGGAAATTGAGTAAGCTCTAACCACAATGACATCTCCTTACATTCAACAAGCGATACAATCTCGTTCTCCGCCCAGGGGTTTCCGTTCTAACCCTTCACCACCGCCTTTCTTGATTTCTCGAGTGATGAATTGTGACGGTTCATTTGTCTAAAATTCGTTTGTGGTGGCTTATGGGATTACCATTGCTAGCCTAATACCAATGGTGAAGTGTATTGACGACAATGATGATACTTTCCTTTGTTCCTACCCGATTCAAGCGGAAGCCTATGGTTTATCTAATGCTATCTTGATCGTAGCACAAGACCCAATTCCCATGTGTCCTCTAGTCTTGGCAATGTCGTGCGACTATTGCACGAATGGTTTCTTTCATCCAATCTACACCGTGGATTTTTGTTTAGTTTGTGCCTCTGCATTTTAATTCAACTGCAGATTAGGTTAGTTGAGCAGGCTAGGAGAAACACTTTACCAGTGGATTAGATGTTATTATGTGACATAATAGCTCCACGGTTGTAATTGTATGTTTTGGCTTCCTTGATTTGTTGGAATAAAAGGAGTATCAAAATAGTATGAATATTTCGACGTTGATGTTATTTACTAGATTTAAAAGTATAAATGTGTGGATATTATATAAATGCTAAAGGTTGCATATATTTCGACCATAAATCGCATTTTTTTGTTGCAAACTAATAAAGAACATTTTCTCCACTTAAAGCTTAGCATAGATATCGTTCGAAGTGAAATATGCGAGATCGCATTGTTTTTTAGGGAGCTGCCAAACAAATTCTAGGGTTTTGGCCAACTGATTGGAAACGGTAATTGAAACTCTTGAGTCGAGCAACGCGACATTGCAGGCGGATTTGTGTGGTGACGCCATGTACAGTGGTTCTAGCGACGGCGAGAGTCACGATGCTCAGAGAAAGATCCCACCGCCGTCGTCCATGCTGTGGGTGCGAAATCTCCGAAGGTATATTGGATCCGGCGCCGGACTCGGATCCGAAGCTCTAATGGGTGAGTTTTGGCGCTTCTCGCTCATTTCTCGGCAAATTAAGGTTATCTTAGGGTCAAGGAAGCTTAGTTATGGATCCTTAGGAATTAGGATGTAGAATGGTTTGCAGGCCATGGAATGTGACTTGATTTTTGTTCTCTGTGTTGTAGAGCTCGAGACAAAAAGAATTCTGCTTGATATATTTAAGGAAAAACAGCAAAAGAGCGCGGAAGCTGGTACAATCCCTAGTTTTTATAAGAAGGTATGTGGTACAAGTGGCAGTGAGGTTGAATAGTTGCATGATATTTGAACTGGGCTTGCATTCTGGCTGGGATTAATTGAATGGTTTACTGATATCAAGTTTTATTTTGCTGTTTGGGAATGTTGGTTTTAGAAACCGGAAGAAGGATCAATCAGTCACAGGGTGCAAAGACTGGCTAAGTATCGGTTTCTGAAGGTATGGAATGTGCTTCTGCTGGGGCACTCTGCCTTTTTTTTTTCTTGGTATCCTTTTTATCGTATGAACATAATAGAAGTTCAAAGCATGACACTCGTCCTTCCATTTTTTGCAGAAGCAATCAGATCTTTTACTAAATGCTGATGATTTGGATGCTATGTGGGTTTGCTTGAGAGAAAATTGTGTGATTGATGATGCTACTGGCGCAGAGAAGGTTGGTTGGCATTGACATTTGAATCTTTGCTTTACACTAATGAATGAGTTGTTAAATGTTTTATCTAAACTAGTGGTCTCAGCTTTTGGGTGCATCTAACACTAAACTGACCCCAGTTTTATCACCTGACAGATGAATTATGAAGATTTTTGCCATATTGCTTCTGTATGCACGGAGCAAATAGGTCCCAAATGCAGAAGGTTTTTCAGCCCATCCAATTTCATGAAATTCGAGAAAGATGAATCAGGAAGAATTGCTATTCTTCCTTTCTATCTATACGTGATGCGGACGGTTAGTCTGGCTTATCTAGTCATGAGATTTTCTTACTATGTACTACTTCATATGATCGCAACACATTTAATTTACAACTCCCTGATATTGAATGTTTTGATTAGGTTTCACTCACACAAGCTAGAATAGACATGAGTGAGCTTGATGAAGATTCTGATGGCTTCCTTCAACCCCATGTATGTGTATATCAGATTTCTTACAGTTTCAGCTGTCCCAATTGCTGTTCCTTCTTCCAGGCTATCCTTATAAAGCAATGCACTTCTTTTATGCAAAGATGTTTAAACATTTGTCTGATGTATTTGTAGGAAATGGAGGCTTATATCAGAGGTCTCATCCCTAATTTAGCACAACTGCGGGATATGCCTGGAGTCTTTGTTCAAATGTACTGTCGTATAGCTGCACATAAATTCTTCTTCTTTTGTGATCCGCACAGGCGAGGTGAGTTTGGAAGTAGTAGTTATAACCATGGAAGTCATAGTTTTGTTTGATATCACTTATTCTTGATTTCAGGCTCAGCATGCTTTTAACTTATTTGTCTTTTGTGTTTATCGCTAACGACTTACTGTTGGTGGTGGCCCAGGGAAAGCTTGCATTAAGAAAGTGCTTCTCAGCAACTGCCTGCAGGAGTTAATGGAATTGCACCAGGTAAATGATTCCGGTCCTAACCTTTGATGAAAGTGTGTAAAGCAAATTGCCATCTACATCCTCGAAAAAAAGACCAGTTGCTGATTGTTCATTTTTCTTCTTATAGTAGTGCAAGAATTAGACTGAATTTTTTCGAAGTAAATTTTGATGCCAAGTTAGACTTTTCAATATAACAGCTGGTCTTCAAAAACTTCATTTTGTTTCCTTACCACTTGTGATCTGTGCCAGGAGAGTGAGGAGGAAGTCACTGACACAGAACAAGCTGAAAACTGGTTCTCTCTTACGTCTGCACAGCGCATATGTGGTAAAAATAGTTTCTTCAATGAATTCCAATCATGATTCTGTATTTTTATAATTACAACCACATGAGTTGTGACTTGCAGTATTTTTCCATATTGGGCCAAGCGTCCTTATGTCACTGTTTGTTGTGTGTGATCCGTTTGAAGCTGACAACTGGACTAAAGAATCTAATAAAAAAAGCAGTGAAGTGATAGTTATCTGGAATATGGATTTCGGAAGTTTCTTATGATATTGATTCAGCACCATGCAATTCTCTAATTTCTGTGTTATCTAAGTAGTTTCCGATTGTCTTGTAGATATGTTCCTGGACCTCGATAAAGATAGAAATGGAACATTGAGCAAGCAAGAGCTTAAAGAATATGCTGATGGGACATTGACAGAAATCTTCATTGAAAGAGGTACATGGAAGTGCTGTGTAACCTATACTTCATCGTGTATTCTCTTGCTCATTGGGTTATGGAAGATGTTTGCTTCATGTTAATCTGAACTCTTTGGATGCTTGCACGATCGAATCCTATGATAGTCTTAGTCTTTCGATGGTTGTTGAACTTGGACTATTCACATGTCTCCCCTATGTTTTCGTTACTGATTACTTTTTGGTTATATAGATCAAAGGGAAAACTCAGTGTCTTTTCACTTGCATGTTTTTGGATAGCTTGATTCTTGATCTCATTATCTATCTTTTTCTTTTGTAGTATTTGATGAACATGTCCGCCGTGGCAAGAGTGGAGCAGGAAATGCACGCGAGATGGATTTCGAAAGTTTCCTTGACTTTGTTCTGGCCCTGGAGAATAAAGACACTGCTGAAGGGCTGACATATTTGTTCCGCTGTCTCGATCTTCAGGGGAGGGGATTTCTAACAACGGCTGATATTCACTCCCTTTTCAGGTGAACGCTTTCAATCATTTATTAATATCTGCTCCGAAACCCGCTAATTTTCGTATGGAAGCAAAGAAGGGGAGCATCATTGAGTTAGGCTGCCACCTGATACAGTCTTCCTAGAGTAAATCTGTTGTTTCCTACTTGTAGTGCTTGAGCTAGCTCTGCAAGTCTCATATATGCAGAGACATAAAAATCCAGAAATCTAGGAATAAGTGACGATCACCAGTCTTTTGCTTGTAGTGCCTGAGCAAAACTTTTGCAGTCTTTTCATGTCACAAGTATGATGTCCCAAGTCCATTATCGTTTAAATTTCAATATGCTTACATTCATGAATTTTGGTGATTACGAAACAGAGACGTGCATCACAAATGGATTGAGGGTGGGAACTACGAGCTGTGTATAGAGGATGTGAGAGACGAGATCTGGGACATGGTGAAGCCAGCCGATGAACTGAGGATCACCCTGGCCGATCTGCTCTCTTGTAAACAGGGTGGAACAGTTGCTAGCATGCTCATAGATGTAAGAGGTTTTTGGGCCCACGATAACAGGGAAAATCTTCTTCAGGAAGAGGAAGAACCAGAGGAAGAATAGCCCTTCCAATCATGTCGACAAGGAAGATGTTCGACGAAAACCGTGGCAGCATCAACTAGGATTCCAGTTCGTGTTCTAACCCAGATCACTTTCGTTTGTGCTTTCTGGTCCAAGTTGTAATGTTTGTTATGTATTTGTATAATGTAATCTATCATGTCATTGATGTGTAAAGAGTGGCAAAAATAACACGTATTGTTTTATATCTTCACTTGTGACAGTACATTTGTGAACAAACAACAACTGATATTTTCGACATAGAAAGACAATGTTATTGATGTTAAATTACAAGTAAAATATATATAAGTATCAACAACTATAGATCTCAAGACGATATCTTGCTTCCATCCCTAGTATCAGTTACTTAAGGAGACCTGCTGTAGAGAAGGATGGTAGCCAGCATCTCGGCACCCCCCTTCGTTCCATACACAGGGCAAGATCAGAGAGCTTTCCGTACCTCCACTTTCCTCTTTACGATAAATCCTCATCGCCGAAGCAGATGAAGTGTGATGAATCAAAGAGTCAGGTTGGTGCAGCGGTTGACAACATTGTACCATCCATCTGTTCAAGAGAAGAAAGTAAAATCGCTCAAGATACCATGGGAAGTAGGACCTATATAGAACTGACCGAACCATATGAGTAAAACAGAGATACATAGAGGAGTTTGGAGCAATTGAAACAATATCATTGGAATAAGTAACGATCAGCAGAGTTGGTTAATGTATGTACCTACACAAAGTCGATGCTTCTGGAGGAAATAGATGATCATTTGATGCGCCATCGACTTCAGGGAGCAGGGTGATCCTTTTCGCCACCTGACTATTTGCCTATTTTAGTTCCCCTGGCTGAAAATATTAAAAGGTTGCCTACAACAGCATTCACAGGTACCACTTCAAGCAGCTTCACGAATCTAGCTAGTCCATAACTTTTCCGAGTTTATCTGAGCAGATGTATCCTTGGAGGCCTGGCTTCATCAAACTCTTGTGATGGTACATAGTTAACAACCTCATCATATGTTTCCATATTCAGTGAACTTTCAGCAAAACATCTGCAGGTCATCAAACAAAGGAAATACAAGCTTAGGCATTGATAGTACATCAAGCAAACCGAGCAGCAGCCAGACATAAGTGAACAGTAAGACGTCTAATTACCTAAGTTCATGCCAGAAAGTATCAGCCCAGTCACCCAGAAAAGGCCTTATAGGACCGAGCAAGTCGCCCACAGCACCGTTGCTGCCAGATTGAAAATCGGATTTTCGTTCAACGCTTTCGATGAAACACGAGGAGGCCACATGGACAATTACAGACGGATCTGGATCATCGAGCACAGCCTGCAGCTCCCTCCGGATCCATGGTTCTATTCTCTGTAACATTCCTTCAACTGTTGTGTTCTGTACAGTTCAGAACAAGCAATGTCGAGACTTCTAAACAAACTGAAACTTGAGAAACTCACACACTACAAAAATGAGCACAAATTTCTACCGGACCCTGGAGACCGACACCAGACATACCTTATGCCTACCACGAGAAGTATCAGCCATGGGAACAGCTTGCAAGCATTGCTTGTATATGCTGCACAGCACAAGATCAAGTGAAAATGGAGCCATTAGATCACTGCATAACAAAGTAAAATCGACCATTCTAACAAAGACAACAAGTTACCAAAATATTTTCCTTGACAAGAGTCGACATACCTTTCCCGCCACTGAAGCCTTCTTTCCCCTCCGGCAAAAGTTCGCCGCCTAGGTAAAGGCTGCGATATCCGGTTATCATTATGAACCGTCCTAAGCACAAAGGAACAAAGGCAAAGAGTTAAACCCTATTCCAATTGGGGAGGGATTCTCAAGTTCAATTCCTCCGCTAAAGAGAATTAGGTTACCGTAATGCATTCCGAGAAGCGAATCTGCCGCGCCGAATTGCCACCGCCACGGAGCTCTTGGCTTTCACCGGAGCTGTAGGCGGCGAAAGTTTCTCCGTCTCAAATCGCCGAGACGAGAGGCTGATCCCGCAGAACCAGGAATCGAACTCCGCGTTGCAGAGAGGACACCGCCTCTTCAACTCGCTCCACCGCCGTATGCACTGCAAGCAATACGCGTGCAAGCAGACGGAAATCACCGCCGCTCTGCCGTGATCGTGGAGCGGCGTCAAACATATCGAGCAAGTCTTCCCGCTGATCGCCGGCGAAATTACAGTCGACACGAATTTCTCCTCTCCCCGATGGCGGTCGTGATGTCTCCATGATGAGCTCCTTGAAGACGAAGGCATCTCCATTAGGTCTCTGTGAACTCTGAAACTGCGAAAGAAATTCGAGATTTCCCCGTGTTTTTGGAGCTCAGTGTTGGGCTGTTTGGGCCGCATTGTAATATTTTATATGGGCCTTATGAACTGTAGCCCATAAGCTTAAATTGATCGATTCTCTTGAATGTTCGTGGATCAATCGAACTTCCTTGCAATGTTCTTTGGCAGGATCAAAGAATAAATTGATTACCTTCTTCAGACGGTACAGCAATCACTAATTCCTTATAATTGGGAAATCAAATCTTTTAAAATGAAAATTAGAAGCATGGCTACTAGAATTGAAATGAATAGTGACAAATCCGAAAACAAAATAATAGGCAATGGTTTACAAAGTCATGCACACATGATGCTGCTACTGCTGCAACTATAAGTTTCACTCATTCAACCTGATGAAACATCAGAGACGTTGCTTGGATTAACAATGGAAGCCGTATTAGACTTCATCATCCATGTCAACCTCGTCTTGAATATCAGCGTTGATCTCACCACCATCATCGATATCAATGTCGATCTCACTGTCGCAGAGAAAAATGCGAACATTACAAGTGCTTGATACTCTTGGGAGTCTTAGCAGTACCTGAAGTTCCTTGCGCTCTTGTTTGGTATCAGCTTTGACTACGTGGATATCTACCTTCTTTAGTACAGCTCCAACAATGAGCAAATGTGCTACCGTTTCCGCATCAGTTTTTAGCGGTACAAAATCTTTGACCTCGATTTCCTCGAGGCTTGACTGCACACACTGCGGTGTACAAGTAGGTTCTGTCTCCTCCCATAACATTGAGCCCTCCGCCATCCTCTGACCATCCCACAAATCAAGTCATTCATGTTCATTTGTAATAGCGTAAGAAGAGATAGATGTTGAACTCACCGGTTTGATGACAAGAGATTGTAATCTGGGGACTGAGTGGAGCAAGGAGTGCAGAATCCAGCTGCTCGACCTTTCAGTAGGTTCGAGTGTCAAATACGTCAAATTGGGGAAGACAGCCAGCTGAATATTGTCGCCTGCTGACAGAAATTCCTGCAAACAAGGATTACTAAAAAATCAGCCCTCTAAACAACTAAGAGATAGTGTAGTTTCGGGAGTAAGGGGAAAATGTTCATTACAAGAGTATTCCAATATAAGCACATCTCCTTTGCACTGGAGATTTGGGCGAGCAACCTAACCAAGCTTTGATACGAGCTTGCTCTGCGACCAGTGTCAACTCGAGCTGAATCGAGGCATGGCAAGGGACTACTACTGCATAGAAACTCTAACTCTGTGAAATCCTCAAGATAAAGATGCTCAAGCTTTGGCGCTTCCATAGCAATGCGACACAAGCACTTATCATCATCATCAGCAAGAAAAGCAATTATCGTCAAGTTTCTCAGGGATGGTATGGAAGCAATGAGTACGTCGTTCTCGTTCATGTCTAGTAAGATGCAATGCTCCAGACGAAGAGTCTCCAGAATAGGGCAACCAGTTATGAGCCTGCTTAAGGACTCACGGTCCTCAGCTACGACATCCCAAAGCTCTAAGATTTTCAAACTAGGAAGAGAAACTGACCCGTTCACAGTGGCCTTAACCTCGTGGAGCTTCGCAATTTTAAGATTCTTCAAAGTGTAGAAACTCTCTGGAAGCTGGAGACAAAGTTCAGATGCAATGGCCTCAAGAAGCATAACATCAATTTCCTCAACCTGAGACCCAAATGCCAATCCCCTCTTATTCAAGTAATCTTGCATCACCCTCGAGACTGAAACATGGAAGCGGAAACAACGTACAGAATCGAGATTCCTGTGCTGGCTGAAAACCCTATCGACGAAGCGGAGGAATTCCACATCCCTCCTATCTTCCATCTCCGTCAGCCGAATGTAATTAACGACGCGGGAGCTGATAAGATCCCTGTAAACCAGGCGGTTTTCGAAATCGAGATTGGAAACCCTAGTCCAGAGATCCTTCCACCGCCGGCTGAGGACGGCGGTACCCACAGCGTACTTGGTAGGCAGAAAAGAGAGGATGTGGGAGATGATTTCGTCAGGTAGAGAGGTCAGCCTGTCGTCGATTCCCGGCTCCGGTACCTTCCATTTGTCAGTCCTCGCCATTTTAGCAGCGTTCTTCTCCATGGATGAAAGGTTTGGAGCCGTGCCTCTAACCTGAGAACGTGTACAGGGAGAGGCGCGCGAAGAAGCAAAGCGACGCTTACACTGATGGTTTTGTTGGGGAATTATCCAAAATGGTTTCGGAAATTTGGTACTTGCACAGAATGGTCATATAAATGTTAGATTTTATATTAGACTGATATTTCGGAGTTTGGTCACATTCTATCTTACAAATACAATAAGGCCATATCCAAAATACTACATTCCTCACATATGAAGGTGGCAAATATTTTGTATCTATTGCTTGGTGAATTGAATTGATAGTTTCAAAATCAAATGATGACTTGAATTCATAGATCCAAATGACATCTAAAACATTAGATCAATATATAAATTCTGAAAAGTAGGTTCTGCCTCCTCCCACTCCATCAGCCATCAACTAGGGTTAGAAATTGGAGAAAGTGTAAAAGTGTCGATTCCGCATGGTTTAGGGCGTTTTTTTTTAATTTTAATACTACGAATAACAAGTCAGAATGTTATTAGCGAGCAACAAAATGGGGCAAATTGCAAGGTTAGTCACTGAAATTACTAAAAACGTTCACGTTTGATCACTAAAAATATTTAAATCCATTCATGGTCACTACAATCAGTTTAACGGTTCAAGTTTGGTCACTCTCCGTTAGTCTCCGTCATCCTTCGTTAACGACGTTAGCTTTTTGCTGACATGACTAACAGAAACGCCTAATAAGCAAATTTTAACACAAAATAAAAAATTTGACCCTCCACATCATCAAAACTAGCCACATCATAAAATTAAAATAAAAAATCCAATCCAACCACCCGTGACCCTCTGACCCGACCCAAATCATACAATCCAATCCTTTGTTTCGCAGGTGTCGACGGTCGTTGAAGCTGCCACCGGAGCTGGACTTCACCGTCGACAGAGTCTATTCCCTCATCCATTGTCACGCAACTGGAATGCCTGAAGCTGATGGAGATTTCCGGCTGGTGTCATCTGGGGAGGCGGTCACATCCGCGGCAAGCGAGAAGGAGCGGTGGTCTAATCTCCTCCGCCGTGAACCCTTCGTGCTCGTCTTCACCGGAGCAGTTGTCTCACTCACCAACAAAGCCACAACGAACCAAAAAATTTATTCGCAGAATGTGAAATTCTAACAGATGATTGGACTAGAACACTTTCTTTGATTCGATTCGTGCGTGAATGGGCTTGCATTGGGTGTAAAAGAAGGGGTGGATCTAGTTGAAGGTCTGCAGCGGCGAGAGCCGCTAGAGAGCGGAGGAATCCAGGGAGGTGGAGTATAGGACGAAGGCTGAGTTGGGATTCATCGATCTCGTCATGGGATCCGACGAGAGATGATGTATCGTAATTAGCAGGTTCCTGATAATGGCATTCGTAACTCAGAAAAAAGAAAAAGGATGCACAAACACAGGGGAAGCAAGCCATGGAGAGATCGGGCATTGACCAAATCATCTTCTTCCGAATTAGCTCAACATCGTGATTCCTTCTTTGAGTACGCCCTCTCCAAATCCACCGGCGAACGCCGCCTTCCTCAAATCACCACCACCTTCACCACCATCTCGACGACCATCCGACCCCCACTTCTCCCTCCGCCTTCATTTCCGTCAGCATCCCCATCAATCTAATCCATACCACCATCCAGCACAAACCGGCAGCCGTCAACGATAGTGAGGGAGGCGGCACGACGGATTCTTGTCGGAGGAGCTAGAGTTGTTGAGAGATCTAGCAATTTCCCACATCAATTCGAACCGGTTCTGCGGGATGGTGCCTTGGACGTTCAAGAACTAGAAGCGACTCTACGAGCTGGATCTCAACAACCTCCCCTTCTATTTTGGGTTAGGAACAGAGGAGGAAGAAAACGAAACAGGAGGCGAGCTCGACGGCGGTGGAGGTTGGGTCGGGTAGGGGGTTTGTAGAAAAGAATTTTTTTTTTAATGAATGTAATAATGAGGTGGAAAATATAAAAGTTTATTTTTAATAAATTTTTAGTTGCCACGTCACAAAGTTAACGGTCAACTTTGAAAGTTGACTGCCACATCAGCCAAAGTTAATGGAATCGGACGGAGAGTGACCAAACGTAAACAGTTTCGGTAAACTAAAGTACTACCAATGAATTTAAATATTTCGAGTGACCAAACATGAACATTTTTTGTAATTTCAATGACCAACCATGCAATTAACCCCAACAAAATGTCAATATCATGATGCAAAGATTTGATTTGATTTCCAACTCAATTCCTCATTCTCTGTGATCTATACAAGAGAATCAGAAAGCAGAGGAATCGGTATGCAAAAATGAAAGACAACATTACTGCGATATTACTCCACTTCTGAGACTCCTTAAGACCTTGCAGCTTCAAGAATCCTTGCCCATCCAGAGAGCAGATTCCATCAACGAACTCCAAGCATCTCCTCTTGCCTTGCTCTCCCCCATACTCATTTATCATAAAGCACTCCAATGGGTACTTAAACAAGCTCAGGTAGTGCATGAACACCCAAATCTCAGGCATGTCGTCTTTGGCTATGAAGTACCCAGAGAACAGGAAGAAGGATCCCATGAAGCAGGCAATCAAGGATGTCCCTGTGATGAAATCTCGTACTAAGGCACTGAAGCATGCAACCATGGAGTTTGACATCATCACCACCAGCCATACCACTAGTAAGAAGTACAGAAACCCATCAATGTCTCTTCTCAGTCCAATTAGCCAGTATGATGGGAGGCTGTACAGCGCAGCCACGACGAACAGGAAAGGAATGAACACGAGTGCATTCGATACGATGTAAGAAGATACTCTGTATGATCCCTTTGAGATCTCCACCAGTAGGATTCTTCTCTCTTGTAAGAATATCGGCAGAGCTTCCGTTGTGGATGACAGCAAGAACGTGAGGCTGAAGGCGAAGAATCCGACTTGAGTTTCGAGCACGTACCTCTTTGGTTCGTCCTTTCCATTCATGAATATGGTACCCAGCACTAGTCCAGCAGCTAGCGCTTGTACCATTCTGGAGGTGAAGAGCTGATTTGTTCTGCAGATTATGCTGAAGAATCTCTGTCCAAGTATCCATACCTCTGTGAATCGACCGTTGGAGTAGGATACTCTAGTTTTCTTCATATGCACGTCATAACATAACTCGTCTTCATCGCTACTGTGATCTTCACTTCTTTCACCATCATCTCTTCTCAAGGTTTTCAGCACATCAATGGCGAACTCCAGCACATTCACATGTCTTGGAATGCAACAACCAGCTGATATAAGTCGCTCCTCGAGCGATGCAAGCGTCCCTTCATACAGAGCAGCTCCATTCGACAGCAGCAGAACCCAATCGAACAGCTTGAGGATACGAAACCCAGGCTGATGGATGGTCAGCACAATCGTCTTACCATGGTCTGCAGCCATGGACTGAAGCAGCTGAACCACATTAAGAGCCGATCCAGAATCCAAACCGGAGGTTGGTTCGTCAATGAGAAGAACAGCAGGGTTATGAACTAGCTCAACAGCGATGGACACTCTTCGCTTCTCACCACCTGAAATTCCCCTGCTAGCTTCATCTCCAATCCTGCCACTGGCAACACGTTCAAGAGCTAGCTCCTTCAATAGAATCTCTGCTCTGGCTCGAGCCAGTTGGACCCCTCCACCTAACCTGAGCCGAGCTGCGTACAAGACCATCTCCTCTACTGTGAGAAGTGGGAAGAGTGCCTCATCCTGGGTCACATATCCAGATATTCTGCGGAACCAAGATGCATTCATCGGCTTCTCGTTCACGAGTACTTCACCGGAGACTCGTGAAGAAGCCTGGCAACAACCTGTAACCAGGCTGCCGCCGAGTATCTGAAGCAATGTGGTCTTACCAGCACCACTTGGACCAGCAATGGCCATGATTTCACCTGCTCTGGCTTCAAATTCAACATTCCTCAGTATGTACTCATCAGCAGCATCAATTGGCTTCAGTTGCTTCCACCATCGAAGCCAGCTGCCACCACCATTTACTGTGCGGGAGAGTCTGTAGGAAAGCTTCTTAGCCTTGATGGTGTATCGTACTTCTGTCTCTTCCTGATCCATTGTTGAGGGTTATGGACACACTGATGAGGGGGGAAAAAGACTCAGACTGAGAGACCCATCTTATTAAACATGACGAGATGAATATGAATCGGGTATGAGACCAGTAAGATGAACTAACTCCACCAACTCTACTCTTATTTGAACACGTTGTCAGATAATATCAGGCTAGCTAGCAGGAGGGAGCACCTCATTTGCATCCATGGCGGCTGCCTGCCTTTGAGTTGGCAGCCATACGTATGTGCGATGGACTTTTGGGAGAAACTGACAGCAGCTTCCAGATGGTAGCCGATATGTGTACACAGTTCGCCACTTGTTCCCACTGAATAACACTGTTTCTAGATGACAAATCATTTTTTTTAAGGAAACTATACACAAGTAGGATCGTAGTTAATGCACGGTGTTGATCTCGCTAGAAAACCAGTGTTTTTTCTTTTTGCACTGCTAGAAACTGAAACCAGAAAGGACCAGGAAGCATTAGCATGGACTAACCATGGGAACCGTCTTGTCATCGATTTCCACTTCGCCGTCTCTGTCAAACTCATTGGCAAATCTCTACTCGTGGACAGCGCCGTCGACACTAGTGCTCATCTCTCTACCTCGGAGTAAAGGCGATCATTTTTCGTTGCAGTGAGTCCAGTGACACAAACTCTTCGCGTTCTTCTTCATCACTTGAAGGACAAGAGTTTGGATGAGTAACTCAATCAGGCCAATGTAAGAGTCAGCGAATATAAGGACTCCTGCTCGAGATTTGGTTATAATGGGACACAGCCACTTGACTCACTCCTACTGTCACTCTAGAAAATGGCCAAGTGTAACCACTTCCTAAAGTGTAGTATAGCGGGTTTGGGTTTTATTGTCAACCCGGATCCTAGATGTGATGACTACTCGGTGAATTCTCGTTATCTAGCAGTGAACTTTTAGTGCAAATTCAAGCAAACAAAAACACAAAGCAAGTAAACGATTGTTGTCAAGTCAAGAGAGGTCACCCGGATATGGTTCCTCCTAGACTGCAGTTAAGTCGAATTGCAATTTACCAAGTTCAGTTTTCATGAAAGTTATACTGCGGAAGGTTCTTGATTAGTCCGAAGTCTCGACTAAAGGTCTTCAGACCCTCTCAATCTGAGTCTCTAGCGGGCGACTAACCTCCACCGGAGTAAACAGATTGAGGCCCTAACGAACCAAACCTCCACTACCGAATTGACTTCGGTACAGAATAGCGAATTGGCTCCTCGACTAAAGTCACCAATTCGCCACCTTCGATTAAGGATACTCTATCAACCTAGGCAGATATTCTCATTCTAGGTTAAAGCAGAAACAAAAGGAATTTGATCAGGATTCAAGTCATTCAATCATTCAAACCTCAATCGAATATAATCAATTCACAAACTCTGTACTTGGGTTCATACAATCAGACCTAGCATACAAATCTAGGGTTCCCCATACCCAGATGAATGTGGGAACTACTCCATAGAGAAAGAAGCAAAAGCAGATTCAGACGCGGAAATCATACTGTGAAGATGGATTTCTGCTCCTGGACGTTTAATCGACACTTCTCCAAGCTCAAGCCGGGCTCCAATGGTGATGAAGATCAAGCTATGGCACTTGGGAACTCTGGTTCGTCGCTTTCTCTCTCTAGGAATCGCTTTCTCTCTCTAAAACTCGGACCCCCTCAATGTTGGCCTTCTTCTCCCTTTTATCAGCTGCCTGGTCGCGATACCCGGTCGAAATACCCGGTCGGGTATTTTGGGTTTCGACCGGGTATTTGCAAAACTCACCATTTCATTTAAGGGGAAAATCCCCGGTCTGTCCTCATAATCCCCGACCGGGGATTTAAGGCATTTGCCCGGGCCCCCTTCTGTTTCTCAGACGCCAAAAAGGGAATTCCCCGGTCTCCTCATAATAATATCCGACCGGGTATTTGTGGTTATGGCCGGGTATTTTCTTCCTTCAGCCCGCTTCAAGCCTCACTTGCTCCTTTCGACCCGAATCTCGTTCCTTCGCCTCGATTCCAACGCCGGGTCCTGAAATATGACATAAACACACAACCTCGCGTGAAATCGGCTTAAAACCCGAGAATCAACCTCACAAACGGCTTCAGAATAGGGGTGAAAACATGTGTAATTATCGGTCTATCAAACTCCCCCACACTTAACCGTTTGCTTGTCCCCAAGCAAACCTAACTCAAACCAATGCAGCTCTCCAGACCTCTATAGCGACAAACAACCTCGATCGTAGGTAGAGGACTTCCTAGATCATTTAGCAACTTACAAGGTCAACCGACGCACAAGTCATCTCATAGCTTCTTCGGCGAGAGCACTAGTCTCGAGTCGGCATAATGGCAAATAGTGAACAGCGGACAAGTGAATCGTGGATGAAGAGACTCTCAAAAACAAAAGATCATGGACTCACATTAATTCAAAGTGCTCGATTTTCTTTTTGAAGATGGTTGGAACCCTTTTCTTTCTTCTTTTTGCTTGTTTTTCTGTTTTTCTTTTTTTTCACGGGTTCCAACCTGTTTTTGCAGAAAACGGGGGCTCCCACCTAGCAAAGGTTTTGCGGGAGCCCGGCTCTTACCGGCCATGCCAGGAGCGGGTGTCTCGAGCCTCGTGCGGGGGAAAGACATGTAAGGGGGCTGGAGGTAGTAGGTGGAAATTGGGAACGGATTCCCGTCTCCCCTTACACACTTTCACCCTATTCGCACGGGAGACGTTATTTTAAAGCACATTTTCGAGCACCTGTATTTTCAAAACATGATACAAGAGTCCATGACAGGCAGAGAGTCCACAACACCACACAATTCAAGGGTCCTAAGATCACTAATTCACTCAATCAACCAACACAATATGAAGAAGAAATGAGACTTCTTAAATGCATCAACATCCTCCATAGTGCTACACTACCTCCCTAGGTTGCAAATCACTACAGAGACTGTCAATTCAAAGCATACTGAGCAGGCAATTGCAAGGAAACACGTACTTGGAGCCCTCAAATTTAAAAATTTGGACAGTGGACTAGGCTCCAAGCACACAAACAGAGCTAATGCAGTCAAAAGATAAACATCCCCCCCACACTTAAGATCGACATTGCCCTCAATGGAGAAGAGGGAAGGAAAGGGGAACGATGTTACCGGTGTGCACAGACTGCAGGAGACTGGAAATGGACCAGTCGGCATGAAACGGACTGCAGCGAGGACCAGTCGGGAACACAGGCACAGCTAAAGGAAACCAAAGAGCTCAAACACGATATGTTAGGTCCAATGGTCAGCCCAATAGTACATCATCCAAAACAAAAGAAAACACCAAAAACAAACCAAAACCAAACCGGTTTACAATCCGACTCAAAACACAAGAAAGAAAGTCAAACCGTGGTGGGGTTGCCTCCCCACAAGCGCTTCTTTATCGTCTTTTAGCTGGACGCCCATGGTGGATACTCAGGGAGGTGCAGGAACAGGTGCCTCCAAGAGCGGATCCACGTCGCTCTTGAGGTACAGCTTCAGGTTGTGGCCATGCACCCGACGGGTGCGACCACCATCATCGGTCAGCTCGACCTGGCCATCCGGCAAGATGCAGGCGAGTGAGTACTCGGATGGCCAGGGTGGTCGTGGTGCAGATGGTGGAACCAGCTCATAGTTGTCTCCACCTTTCTTCCGTGTAGGCTTTGTAACCGGCTGCTTCGGCCGCCACTCCTCCTTGGTCTTTTTGTTCGGAGGCGAGGCTGGATGGAGTGGCGGCGAAGGAATGATAGGAGGGTCCTGCAAAATGAGAGGTGCAGAAGGATACACGACAGGCTCGTGTATCTGGTCAGAAATAGCATGCACAGGGGAGACAGCAATCATAGCACAATGATCGAATTCAGTCACAGAAAAAGTAGCTTGTTCACTCCCAGCACGCAGAATCAGTTTACCATCATGCACATCAATCAGTGCCTTGGCGGTGGCAAGAAATGGTCTTCCTAAAATCAAAGGCACATCCACATCATCATTTATATCCAGAACAACAAAATCAACAGGATATGTGAATGCACCCACATTAACAAGAAGATCTTCTATGATACCCCTAGGATGCACAACGGAACGATCAGCTAGCTGAATGCTCATCCTAGTAGGGCTAAGTTCACCTAGGTCTAGCTTTTTGAACAATTTATATGGCATGACATTAATGCTAGCGCCTAGGTACGCCAAGGACTTTCCTACATGCATGCTGCCAATAGTAAGAGGGATAGTAAAACTCCCTGGATCCTTGCGCTTTTCGGGCAGCTTGTTCTGCAGGACAGCAGAACATTCCTCGCTCAGCAGCACTGTCGAGAGATCCCCAAGTTCCTTCTTGTTGGTGAGGAGATCTTTCATGAACTTTGAGTACTTGGGTATCTTCGACAGTGCCTCCACAAAAGGTACGCTGATGTTGAGCTGCTTCAACATTGCCATAAACTTGGCAAACTCAGTCTCCAGCTTGTCTTTGTGTAGGCGAGTAGGGAAGGGAAGCTGGGGTACGTGCTTCTTCACCACTGGTTGTGGCCTGGGAGCAGGAGCTTCCTTCTCCACCCGCACTTCTGCATCACTGGCTGGAAGTGCTGAAGCAGGTAGTGGTGCCTCCTGCCTGGTCGGGGCAGGATCAGCTGATGTAGGCCTGCCGCTCCTAGTGAAAATGGCATCCAGCTGCTCGTGCGGGTCCCGTGGATTGGGGATGGTGGTGGCAGGTAGAGTCCCCGGGGCCCGAGCAGTAAGCTGGCGCGCTAGGATACCGACTTGGTGCTGTAGATCTTGCAGAATAGCACCCTGGTTTCTCTGTCCTGCCTCCAAAGAGACTATGCTCTGGTCCACCCTCGTGAAATTCGTCTGGGTGGTGGTCATGAATGCCGCCAAAATGTTCTTCAGCTCAGCCATCTGATTATCTGGAGCTGCGGCTACTGGAGGTTGAGCAAACTAGCGCTGGGCCGGCTTCACAGGCTTGAAGGAAAATAGCTGTGGTGGCGTTGGAGATTGTTCACGGGCCAATACAAAGCCCATAAGATAAGTATGACTGGCTAGTGGCCCGAAGGAAAATAGCTGTGGTGGCGTTGGAGATTGTTCACGGGCCAATACAAAGCCCATATAATAAGTATGACTGGCTAGTGGCTAACATGTGAAGTGGTGAATTACTACTGTCAAGGTGAAAAGTCTACTAAAAAGCGAAAGAACAGGAAAAATTAGAGGTGGCAATTAGGATCCAAATCCACGAATCCAATCCAATCCAATCCATCCACCAAATTATCCATTTAATTCAATCCATTTAATTCAATCCCTTTAAATCCAATCCATTTGATCCAAATCCAATTGGATTGGTGGATTCATGGATCAATCTATGGATCCAAATGGCAAATTACGATTTGGTACCTATATTTTTTATATTTTACATTTTGGTACCTAAAATTTATATTTTTATACGGAAAAAATCATTGGAAAATTACATTTTGGTATCTAAAATTTTTCATTATGACATTTTAGTACCTAAACTTTTCAAATTTTACATTTTGGTCCAAGCCTTGGATGTCATTTGGATTCATGGATCAATCCACCAATCCATTTGATCCAATCCATGAATCCACCAATCCTTTGGATCAAATCCATTTGATCCGTGGATCCACCAATCCAATGCACGAATCCACCAATCCGATCCAATTAAAAAATAGATTCCACATAACAGTATGATCAAGCTACTTATTAGTACCACCAGAAGCAAGGGAAAACAGGAGAGAGAGAGAGAGAGTAAGGAACTTACATCATGTAATGCAACCAAGTGATCGCCATGGGAGAAGATTGATAAACACACGAGGACATCTGCCTTGATGACAAATTCACAAGTGATGACATTATGATACAACTTCTGATATCGTCTCTGTTCCAAATGAAAATAAAAGCGAATAGCGCAATCAACGTGCTGAGACATATTGTTCTAGATTGCTCAAATATATGAAATCAGGTCAGCGTGATTTTGATAGCTATTAGCTAGGGTACATCTTTTGTCATTGACTTCCACTTGGTCATCTCTGTCGAAGCATTTGGGAATCTCCCCTTGTGGTCATCATCATCGACACTAGGCTCATCTCGCTACCTCAAAGTAAAGGCTGGCATCACAAGCGCTCTAGCGTTTTGGCAGTCTTCTTGGCACAAAGTAAAGGCGGGCATAACAAGCGCTCTAGCGTTTTGGCAGTCTTCTTGGCAGGAAGTCTAGTGACGCGAGCTCTTCGTATTCTCCTTCGCCACTTGAAGGGCAAGAGTTCAGGTGAGTAACTCAATCAGGCAATGCAAGAGTCGACCAATATAAGGTACCCAGCACTAGTCCAGCAGCTAGCGCTTGTACCATTCTGGAGGTGAAGAGCTGATTTGTTCTGCAGATTATGCTGAAGAATCTCTATCCAAGTATCCACACCTCCTCTTTGAATCGACCGTTGGAGTAGGATGCTCTAGTTTGCTTGATATGCACGTCATAACGTAATTCGTCAGCATCACTACTGTGATGATCTTCACTTCTTTCACCATCTCTTCTCAAGTTCTTCAGCACATCAATGGCGAACTCCAGCACATTGACATGTCTAAGAATGCAACAACCAGCAGATATAAGTCGCTCCTCGAGCGATGCAAGCGTTCCTTCATACAGAGTAGCTCCATTCGACAGCAGCAGGATGCGATCAAGCAGCTTGAGGACTCGAAACCCAGGCTGATGGATGGTCAGCACAACCGTGATGCATTCAGATATTCTTCGGAACCAGGATGCATTCATCTGCCTCTCGTTCACGAGTACTTCACCGGACACTCGTGAAGAAGCCTGGCGCACTGTTACACCGCCGAGTATCTGAAGCAATGTGGTCTTGTCTTACCAGCACCACTTGGGCCAGCAATGGCCGTGATTTCCCTTGCTCTGGCTTCAAATTCCACATTCCTCAGTATGTAATCATCAGCAGCATCATAAATTGGCTTGATTTGCTTCCACCATCGAAGCCAGCTGCCACCACCATGTACTGTGCGGGAGAGTCTGCAGGAAAGCTTCTTAGACTTGATGGTGTATCTGGCTTCTGTCTCTTCCTGGTCCATTGTTGAGGTTTATGGACACACTGATGATGATAAAAGACGCAGACTGAGAGAGCCGTCTTATTTAAACATGGCTAGATAAATGGGAATCGGATTCAGTAAGATGAACTAACTTTACCAACCCTAATCTTATTTGAACACGTTGTCAGTTAATATCAGGCTAGCTAGCAGAAGGGAGCACCTCATTCGCATCCATGGCGGCTGCCTGCCTTTGAGTTGGCAGCCATACGTGTGTACGATGGACTTTTGGGGGAAACTGATGGCAGCTTCCAGATGGTAGCCTAATGAACAACACTGTTTCTAGATGACAATAATTTTTCTTTTACGAGACTATACACAACTAGGATCGTAGTTAATGCAAACCAGTGTTTTGTTTTTTTTAACGAACTGCTATTTGCTGCCCTATTTTTTTTTATTCTTTTTTTACAATACACAAGGTTTGATTGTGGTGAGTGACAATTGAAGAGAGAGAAAAATGTTATTTACTTAAAATTTGTGGGCAGCAATTAGTAATTCTACAGGCGGCAAATAACAATTCTCTTTTTTTAACTACTAGTAACTATAAGTAGCAAGGACAAGGAACATTAGCATGGACTAACCATGGGAACCATCTTTTGTCATTGACTTCCACTTCGCCATCTCTGTCGAAGTCATTTGCGAATCTCCCCTCGCTCAACTGCTCATCTCGCTACCGCAAAGTTAAGGAGGGAATCACAAGCGCTCGAGCCTTCCTTGCTACCATAAATCATACCTTGGAAAGTAGATAATGAAAAATCCAGAAACTACTTTTATCACATACCAGGAAATCTAGTTTACATGAATTTCAAACATTCTGATAACCAAATGCAACGAGGACCACTTAACTAGAGAAGCCAGCAAAGTATTAACATGGATTTAGAACGTTTAACTTTGATTTGTGTGGAGGGATGGGTAGAGCGAAGATTAACTGAAGCGAAAACAAGTAGATAATGCAGATACGTAACAGAGAAGCGGTAATTATAATACAACTAGTTTGTTGCCCGCGCTCCGCGGCGGGAAGAAACTACTTATATATATATGTAAAACTTCATTTGCGTATTTAATGATTTAATTTAAATTAAATAATTCATAAATTTTAAGATACGTTCATAAATTTATATAGTGTCTGAATCATAAGCTTACACAATACACTCATTTCTTTGATACCTAAAATATAATTATCCCTCCATAAAATTTACGTAATGTATTTCTAATTTTACGCAAGTGTTATAGAATGATATTACGTATTTTTTTTTTGTAATTAGTGGTCTAATAATAAAATCGTGTTAGGAAAAAGCATCACATTTGATTAAAATGTTATGTAAAAGTTAACTTACCTCACGAAACTTTAGTGTAATATAAACTTGTGAGATGGTGAATGTTATATGTAATAATAAAGGTATTTTAGTTAATAATAAAATAATTAAGTTACGAAAAGTATACATTCCGTTAAACTATTATGTACATATAATCGGCCTTACATAACTTTTATGTGATGCACGTCGATGAGATTATGAACATTTTAATTAATAATACTTAAATTTTTTCGTTCAAACTTATATCACAAAAGAATTACTTAATATGTTTGTTTAATTGATACATAAAAAATAATTATCCATGGATAAACTTGACATAGTCTTAATCATTACGAAAAACTCACATAATACGTTTACTTTAATTGATACTTCAGAAATAACTCTACATCCTTAATTTTGGCATAATGTATGACGTATGTCTAATTTACGTAATTGGTGCAGAATGGTGTGACGTAAAAATTTCATAATGTGTGGTCTAATATTAAATCAAGTTATGAAAAGTATTAAACTATTATATAAAAATTAACTTACATTACCAAACTTTTGCAAAATGATTATTAATGGTGAATATTGAGCTATGTTGTAGTTAATAGTTAACAGTAAGAAAATTAATACGGGTGCACATGCTGTATGCCTGTCTCATCTTCTCAAAACATCAGGTAAACCCTTATTCCCCTAAATATATCAGAGTTTGGGCACGCTAATCAAATGAGTAAAATGGTAACAGGAAAAGCATGCATATTAGGCGGTGTTCCCTAAGATCGATATTGTGGGAGCTATCACAGTGGAACATGCATGCCTTGTGAACAAAAACTCGGAATTGAAGACTGCTGACTACCTACTAATTTTAGATTTGCTAAAAAATCGTTGGAACAGTAAAATAATTAAAAGATAGCTTGCATTATTAATAATATAATCCTAATAAAACTAGGAAACAATTAAGGTAAAAGTATACACTAAAAATGACACAAAATTCGAGTTTAAGCTCCCTTTCTTAAAATACCAGTAAGCTGCCAGCAAACAGTCCAAAAGCAGCTTTTGTACTAACTTTGTGCTATTCGTTCGAGGCCTTCTCGAACTCCAATCTTTCACCCAATTCCTTACCTTTGTATATAAACATACCTAGTTTCATGTTGCGGAAGCCTTTGGACTTGAATTCCATCCATGCTCCTCGAATTAAGCTCCAAGGTAGGCTTCACAAAACAGTTTTCTGCCTTAGCCATTTTCTGGCAGTTTTCAGCTTTCCAGCTAGCATCTTTACACATCTGGAAAATGACCTTCTAGACTTCTACTTGAGCACCCAAGCATACAAATGTGTAGATAAAGTTCTTATCTTCAAAACAAGCTATCAAACACAAATTTTCATTGGGAAAATTGAGAGAACCAAGCCTCCAAAGTCGGCTTCCTGAAACATGAAAAATACTTGGACAATTTTCAGCTTCTTCTTTGCAATTCGACTTGGCCTCTTTGACGATTAATCCTGCATGGAATTTGATCGATTCCAGGATCATATCAGTTTTATAACGGTTAACCACTGAACCATGAACCACTAGCTTTTCCGGTTCAACTTTCGGTTCGTTTATGGAAATAGAGGTTATATGTGTATTTTTCATTTTCATAACTTGTATTCAGAAGGTGCAGAACATATATTAGAAAACATATTCGCACTAAATAGGGATGGCAACCAAACCCATGGCGACGGGTACCCGACCGCCTCCGACCCAGTCAATGTTGTATGGGTTAAACCGACAAAAAGGTTGATGGGTATGGGGCGGGTATGGTTTGGGACTCCCCCACCCTATACCCAAACCCGCCCACCAATGATATTATGTTATATGCATAAAATATAAGGAGTCTATTGTAACTTGTCAATGGAATGAAGGGTAATTAAAAGAAGGGTTGGGCTAATACCACTAGGAAATCCGAACTATTAACTTTGTGTCATTTGTGTCTTAAAGTATCCGATATGACAATTGTGTCCCAACCTATTTTTTCGTTATGGTTGACTGGCGTTGACCGTTAGTTTTAAACAGAAAGTATAATCAGCGCTGATGTGGCATCTGACGTGGAAATTAAAAGGAAAAAATAACAAAAAATAGAAATTAAAAGAAAATTTAAAAAAAGGTGGAAAATTCGTTCACGTTCTCAAATTGGCTTTTCCGTCTCCCTGTACTCCTCTCCCCCGATTCGTCTCGAAGCTCCACTTCCATGCCGGATCCAACGAAGTTAAGGGATGCAATGATTCCGACACTTCTCGTCCACTTTCCTCTTCCGCCTCTGCATCATCCTCATCGCAGTGGCCAGCGATTGATTGTTGTCGTCGTTCTCCAGATCTCTCATTGCTCCAGATCTGCTCCAAACCTCTCAATCTCTCCGTCATCATCGTTGGGTCTCGCCGAGCAACAAAGGATTGCGACCGAAGTCGCTTGTGGTCGGTGACAAAGGGGAAGTCGCCCGCCGCCTCCAAATCTACGCTCCCAGCTATTCCGCTGAGGTTTGTATTGTAGTGGAAGAGTCGGAATTGACACTGGGATTCAAATCAAATTGAAGGGTCGGGAGATTGTTGATTTCGTTTGCGAGAGTTCATTGAATCAGATTAGGGATTGAATTTGAGCGGCGTCGGCGGGAATGAAGAAGTTCCGAAAAACAACAACGACGGGTCCTCTTCCTCTGCGACATCGTCGTCTTGACTGGTTGTGCCAAAACCGATGGAGGGACTGAACAAGTCTGGTCCTCCCCATTTCCTGAAGAAGACTCACGTCGATTGGAGCTGGGAGCTCTGCAGGAGAAGAAGAAGTCGACTAGAAGGAAGGGATTCACATCGATTGGAGCTGGAGCTCTGCCGGAGAAGATTTTCTATTTTAAGTTTTCTTTGTATTTTAATTGTTAATTTTAATTTAAAAATAACAACCTGATGTGGCAGCTGACGTGGCGCATACATGTCTGCCACATATGTGCCATGTAACCAACAGTCAACATTTTATGGTTGACCGTTTGGTCAACCATTATCTCTAATGGTCACCAAAATTGTTAGGACGTAAATGACACAAAACTACCAAACGTTGGGACACAATTGTCATATCGGATACTTTAGGACACAAATGACATAAAGTTAATAGTTCGGATTTCCTAGTGGTATTAGCCCTTAAAAGAAAAAACAAAGTGTTAAAATATAATTGCTGGCAACCAAACCGTAATTTCATCCTCTTATCTATTATTTCTACAATTTTGGGCGGTAATATCCATATTTGCCACCATATTCTTTTATTAATGGGGAGTAGTTGATGGGCCGGGTATTACCCATGGGTATCCGAAAATCACGGATATAGGGATGAGTTTGAATTCGTCATTTTCACAATTTGTATCCTCCTGATTTCCACTATTTTCTCTCACTTACTTTTCATTAGGGGTGACAAACGGTAAGTCGGTAAACGGTTTACCGTTTTACCTAACCGATAGCCGGCGGTAAACGGTAAACCGTTTGCCGGCGGTATCAGCAGCCGAGGATCAAATGGGGAAGCTCGGTTTACCGGCCCCAGTATCGGTAAATACCGACGGTAATTCGGTAATACCGATACCGGGCAAGTTAAGGTATTAACTAATAACATATACTTCATTATTCACAAATATTACATACATGAATGAAAGTAAGTAAGTATAGGCCTAAAAAATAATATAAATAGGAGTTAATAATAATTTATTAATTACAAAAATGAACAAAAAACTCATAAAAATCAAAATATTACAACATCACTCTATTGCCCAGAAATTCGGTTTGGTAATTTTCCGGTAAACCAAACCGAAAAACCGTCCGCAACTACTCTTTACGGTAAGTCGGTAAAACCGGTTTGTAACCGTTTAGCGGTAATTCGGTAACCGGTATCGGTAATCGATTCCCACTTACCCACACTCGGTATACTGAAAACCGGTAAAGTCGATAACCGGTTTACCGGTTACCGACCGAATACCACCCCTACTTTTCATGGGACCCATTATTTCAACTACTTTTCACACGGTAAGCTCAGCTCAACCTTCCGCTAACTATTCTCTAACCTAATTTGAGTCGTTAATTTAGTGGGTACTTAATATATACAGTTAAATGTAGGAATGACAATGGACAGGTCCGGGGCGGGTTTCTTGGTACCCAGACCCGCCCCGTGGCAAGTCGAGTTCAGGTCGGGTAATTTATCATGGGTCACGGGTTGGGGCAGGTCGACCCAATGGGTAAGCAATTTATATGAAAAATATTAGAAATGTTAGTTATCTTTATTATAAGACCATGGAAACAAACAATATTAATATAAATATAGTTAAATTATTGGAGAAATTGAGTTTTTCACTAATTTACAACTTTATGATAGCTAAAATTTTATGTAATAAAAGAAAAATCATAAGTAATTTGACTAAAATTACGTGTAATTTAGGCAAGAACAGGCCGAGAATGGGGCAGGTCAGGGCAGGTCGGGTGGATGAGAGTACCCATGCCCGCCCGCCTACGGGGAGGGTCAGACCCGCCCAGAACTGATCAAACAGGTCAAGTCGAAATTGTCATCCCTAGTTAAATGCTCCTAACCATCCTCAAAAGATGAAGTGGAGGACCATAACCTGACCGTCGATGTGATATCCACATCAAGAAAAGAATCATGACTTAATGATAAATTTTTTTTATTGTTCAAGTTGACGATCAAGAGAAAAATCAAGCCGAATAAGAGAGTTTTTTTATAACCCAGAAACATCTCACACACACACTGCTTTTGCAATGGTGGAGCGAGACCAAATCTGGGAGTTAACCTGCTTCATCTCTTCGGACCTCCACGAGGATCTCCATTAAATGACTCCAGGAACATCATAATAGGTCTTGGTAGAAGGCAAACACCGGATCTGCCACTTCTCGGAACGAGCGCACACTAACGGTGTCAGTGCTAGTTAAGTGACTTTTGGGGCAATGGGGAAGTTAATTTCATATCGCACATTTGAGAGATTTCGAAAAAGTTAAAATCAAGGTAACCTTTTAGTGTAAAATTGAGACTAAACTTAGATATTTAACCCTAGGCCCTGTTTACTTCCATTTTCGTTTCCTGTCAACTGTTTTCATGTCATAAATTTGGCAACCGAAATGAGAAAACTTGTTTACTTCTCATTCCGTTTTCTATTCGTTTACAACTATGAAAATAGAAAGTGACAACTTCCTGCTGTTTTCGGAAACGACAAAATGTTGTTTTTACCAGTTTTCAACATCTGTTTTCTCAAAAAATAAGAAATAGAAATGAAAAAAAAAAAACAGGCTCTTAATTTTAGATAATCTTCCGTAAAAAAAAACAGATAATCTTCGTCGTGAGGCTTGGCCCAGACCCCACTGAGCACGTTGGGCTTAAAGCCTGGCCCGTGGACTACTTTGAAAAAACAACTGACAACTTGCTGGCCTTCTAATTCAAAATTTCGTTCATCACGGTGACCACTCTTCTCAACGCTGCTTTGCTTGCTCTCACAGTCAGTCAGTCAGTCAGCGAGTCGCCATTTTCAGCTCTCGCTCCCCAATTTCACAAAGCAAACACAGGAAAATGGACATCTCCAAAGATCAAATCGCGACTCTCCTCGATCACGACCTCCATGCTTCCGCTCAGATGCTCGTAAGCCTTTTTCACTCTCTCTGGTTGAGTCTTGATGGTATTGATTTCAGCATTTCCATCGATTGCCGCCGGTTTAACCTTTTCCCGCTCGTCTTTGTGTTGTGGGAACTTGAGAAAACAGGGATGCTTCCTTGTATCGTCGACTTCGGCTAATCCTGAAACAAGCCCTCAACTGAAGGCCGAAAATCTGGTCCGGAGTTGCTTGATTTCTTTCTCTTTTGAATTTGGATGCCGCGAATTGGAAAATTGTTTTAATTCGTTGGGTTTGGGTTGTTGTTGGAGCAGATTCTTCTAGGAGACTCGCTGTTTCGTGACAGGGAGTATCGAAGAGCAATCGTGAGTGCATTTTCCCCCTTTCCTTTGGTTCTCGTTTCTCTATGTTTGATATGTAATTTCTCTGAATTTTAGGGGGAACTTTGGTGGGGTTTTTTGTTGTTGAATTTTTTGCATTTGGGAATGTATGACAGCATACCTACAAACAAGCATTGCAGTACTGTAAGATTATCCCCAAGCAGAACTCAACTTCTGCTAGAACTTCACTCTCCAGCAGGTCCTCTTCGCCGAGTTCTTTTAACGCTTTAGCGATTAATGAAAACGAGGTAGATTGCTATTGCCTCTCTCTCTCTCCCCCTCTTCCAAACCCGGGCGATTTGTGGCTGGAACTGGTTGCTTTTAGCTAGCATTTTGACATAGTTTTTATAACAGGTGAAGTTCAAGATTGCATCTTGTCATTCATCACTGAATGAAACCAGACTGGCTCTGGCCGAGGTTTGTTTCTATTGTTTGTCACGCAATGTCTTTTGTTGGACTGCTCTTGTGAGTTGTGACTGGATTATCTTGCTATATGTTATACTGTTTTCTTCCACTTATCTGAGGTTGGGTGTTTTTTATGCAGATGGAAGGAATTCCTAGCAAAGCAAGAACTTTGCAGATGAGTTTGTTAATGGCAAAGCTTTTTCGGAATTCCAGACATAATCGATATGCTATTGCTTGTTACAGAGAGTGCTTGAGGTATGAAAAGGTTTTACAGTACTATTGCCTCGACTCATGCATGTCTGCTTCAGAAATGAATGTTGCATGATTCACGTGCATATTTTGTTTTATCCACTCTAGAAATGAAATATAGTTTTGCCTCGGCGTGAGCATCCTTTGATACTTTCCAGGAATTGCCCTTATGTAATGGAAGCTATTATAGCCTTAGCTGAACTGGGAGTTGCTGCAAAGGATATCATTTCATTATTCTCACAGGTCCGTTCATTTGAGAATCGCACAATCTCTCTTTCCCCTCACCCCACCCGAAAACCTCTTTGAGTTTGGAGCATATCCTACTACCGCCATGTTTATTGTAGGCTTGTAGCTTTATGACTGTGATTTTTGCAAAGGCATGGTTTGACATCCTTGCTGCACTGTCTTCTTCTCATTTGGTTCAGACTTCATACAAAAGTGGAAGGGCCCCGTTGGAGCATATTGACTCAAATAGATGGTTACAAGTAAGTACAGATTTAAATCAGCTTTAACTTTGGTTTCGACCATCACAATTGGGTACTGCTTTGTTGTCCATTCCCTGACCCCTATTTTGGGGCCTCATTGCTCTTGGAAACATTTGTCATTCATAACTGAATGCAGAGACTTCTTGTCATTAGTTAAACTTTCCTAGACTGTACTGTTTTTCTTGTGTATTTTGCACAAACTGCTCATCTGTTCGTTCATGTTTATTTTCTTCCAGCGCTATGTTGAGGCACAATGTTGTGTGGCTTCAAACGACTACAAAGGTAATAGATATTAAGTCTAAACTCTGTTGTCTGTAGGTTGTAAATTGTTGTGCGAATTGAGTTCCTTTTTCTGCGAGCCTGTCCTTTGTATCTTGTATCCTTTTATTCTTTGGGTGGTTCTTCGACATCTCGCTTTGTGTTATCTTGAAAGTAAGGGAAACCATAACTATGAATACATATGGCTGTTATGTCTGCAGGTGGGTTAGAGCTCTTTGCGGAACTTTTGCAACGTTTTCCTAGCAACATACACATATTACTTGAAACTGCTAAGGTTCGAATTCTCATTCTAATGGCTCAACCTGATCAGTTTAAGCTAAAAAATGATTATTGCTTCACTGATTTGGTGTGTAATATGGTCAGGTAGAAGCAATTATTGGAAAGAGCGATGAGGCTATAGTGAACTTTGAAAAGGTACTAGCTGATTTCTCTGTCTGATAAATACATTACTTCTCTGATAGATTTGCAACTGTTCAAGTTCTTTATTCACTTGATTGCAGGTGCGCTCGCTGGATCCGTTTCTCATTACTTACATGGATGAGTATGCAATACTTCTGAAGGGCAAGTCCGATTATACAAAGCTAAACAAGTTGGTTCATGATCTTTTAAGTATTGACCCTACTAGGCCGGAAGTCTTCGTGGCTTTGTCAGTTTTATGGGAAAGGAAAGATGAGAGAGGAGCTCTATCGTACGCTGAGAAGGTAGAACTTATTCTTTGCAACACCTTTTTATCTCCAAAAGTGAATTTTTTCTGTAATCTAACAACAATCCCTTTTATAGAGCATCCGAATTGATGAGAGACACATACCAGCCTACATTATGAAGGTATGCAAGTAGTTAATGCCGGATACTACAGATTGGGCTGGTTCCAAGTTGTAATTCGTTTCAGTGGTGGTTAGATCTGTATGATCTATGAAGTTTGAGTTCCATAATTTGTTTCCCTAAAATGAGAACGCATTCTATATATTCAGGGGAATATACTTTTATCACTGAAGAGACCAGAAGTAGCCGTAATAGCATTCAGAGGTGCCCACGATTTGAGAGCTGATCTTCGTTCATATCAAGGTGCAACGTTTAGCATTTACAACTCAATCCTTCTGTTGTGTCGAAGTTTGAGTATTAGCTTACATGGTGCCCAAATTTTTAGGCCTCGTTCATTCCTATTTGGCTTTCTCCAAGACCAAAGAAGCTTTGCATGCAGCCAGGGAGGCCATGAAGGCCATGCCTCAATCTGCAAAAGCGCTGAAATTAGTCGGGGATGTACATGCTAGCAACTCTAGCGGCAGGGAGAAGGTAAAACCTATGCAACTTACATTCAGTTGTCTTACATTGACTCTCGATCTAACACAGATGGTGGGAACTACAGGCCAAGAAGTTTTATGAGTCAGCATTGAGGCTGGAACCTGGATACTTTGGTGCTGCGTTAGCTTTAGCCGAGCTCCATTGCGTAGAGGGTAGAAATGGAGATGCTGTCTCTCTGCTTGAGCGATACGTTAAGGATTGGGCTGATGATTCACTTCATGTCAAGCTGGCTCAAGTGTATGCCGCCACAAATGCTCTGCAAGAAGCTTTGTCTCACTACCAGGCTGCATTACGGTGAGAACCGATTTTTTACCACCTCCGAGCCTTGTTTCTTAACCTACTCTTGAACTTTTTCACTGTCCGTTCGTAGGTTGAATCCCCAGAATGAAGCCGCAAAGAAAGGCTTAGAGCGGTTGGAGAAGCAAATGAAGGTTTGTTGCCCTATCCGGTTGTTTACTTTTTTGTAAGTACGTGCACATGGCCTTTGGATCTGGCATAAACAAACTGCTATTGTCGGACAATATTCATAGGGTGTCGATCCAGATGCTCCTGAAGAAGATGAAGATAATGAGGTCGAGGATGCTGATGAAGAACCAGATGAGATTGAGCTTCTCCGAGAGTAAAATGCAGATCCTGAATTTCAACATCATATGCATTGTTGCCACTGCTAGCTTAGCAGCCTTCCTAAATTTTTGGCAATCAACCCAAGAGGCCTGAAACTGTACCGGAGATGTGATCAACTATTAGACGAGTAAAGAAAACCATCCTTGACATCATGACTAAGCAACCTACACAACTACCTCAGGGACTGCAGGTTAGATAGTTTGTCAATCTCTTGCCATTTTTCTCATGTAAAGATCTCAAGCGAAATGATTCGACCTTGTTGTAAGTTTGCACTCAGCTCAAACAAATGATGGAATTGCTGGTAGCTAAACAACATCATTCATCCTGGTAGTTTCATGTTAACATTGTTGTGCGCTTTTGTTTTAACTGAAGTGACTTCACCATAACTGTCAAAAAGACTAATTAACTTCAATTTGAACTGGATAAAGCTAAGCACTGAAATGAAAGATCTTCACTTCTGCATTAGTAACATGCTTGGTTGCCATTCTAACCTAATTTCAAATACAATTGGCTGTAGAAACAGAAGCGTGAATTAAGGTTTTTTTAGTACCCCTATATACAGAATCAAGTTACAAAAAGCTACTGTTTCCTCTGCCTTCTAAACATGGTAAGGTTTCCTAGGAGTCGGAGCTCGGTTCTCCAAAGACTGCAACCTTTGCTTCAGATGAAACACCTCTACCTGATCATTCAAAAGGCATCATGAGTATCTTGACACACAAGGAATGATGAAAGATTAGCCGAGTAGAAAATCACCTGAAGCTGAAACGCTCTTGCCCTTTCCGCAGCTAGTACTCCCCTAGTCGAATGCAGCTCCTGAGACCAAACATACATAGTTACTTAGTTCTTTAAACCCAGCCATGAAAGATCGATTGATTACACAGTTGGCCAGGCAGCAGAACATTTTACCTTCTGGGTATCATCGAAAACAGCCTTGAGGAAAGCCACGTCGTGTTCAAGCCTCACGTTGTCCGAATGGACGATATTCGACATGCTGTTGGCCTCTTCATGGGCCATCTCCAAACTAGTCATCTTCTCCTTCAGCAACTCCACTTCCCTTAAAGCATCCGCCAACTTCTTCTCCGCATCTTGCTTGCTCTTCACGACCGCAGAGAAACCCTTCTCAGCCACCTCTTGACCTGCCAATGCTGCCGCGAGTTGTCCTTCTAGTACTCCATTCTTCTTTATTAAAGTAGCTATTTTGGATTCGTACAGTTGATAGACACTCGAGTGCGGCCCTCCGGAAGGGAAGTCAGTAGTCTCTGGAACTGCCACTCGCTCAGTGTCAACTCTAAGGTCAGATGAACTACCATAGACACAAGATTTATCCTCACTGATGATTTTGCCCAGCTGGTTATAAGTCTGAACGGAAGTGATGGGTTGATTCATCTGCTGTTCTTTCCCCTGAAAAAACGACATTTCTCCCCATTCTAAATCGTGATATGAAAACAATGACATAATGTGCTAGTGTAAGCTTGAGGGGTTGGCTACAAGGTTACGGTTTTCAAATTAACCATTTCACTTAACAGTTCTGTCTAAGTATCACTAGTTAAAACTTTCAACACGCTTCCCAGTTAACTTAACCGAGCAGCTTAGCTACTAAACGGGTAGCAAAACATATTACTTACCGGAGATGTCACATTTCCTTCATCTGAGCTCTTAACCATCTTGACAACTCTGTTGTGTTCTTCCTCGTGAAATTGCTTTCTGAGGGAGACATTTCCAGAGGCACAACCTGAATCCATGATTGCAGACTCCGACACAGATTTTCTACCAGAACCATGCTGCTCGATTGCAGAAGCCAAGTTCTGTCTAGCAACAGAGTCAACTGAACGCTGAGAGTCCCCAAGAGGACCTTTACCAGACCTCCGAGACATTGATGATTCATGCTTGTCCAAACCCATTACTTCAACCTGTAAAAGAGCAATTAATCAAAAAGACATCATTATTATAGTCTATCGCGATGAACACTGCGTTACTAGGGAGTGACAACTGGAAATAGTCAGTTCAGTTCTTGACCTGATTTGAAGGCTCCTTTCTGGATCCTCCAAACGCAACTAGGAAATCTTTCTCTTTATGTTGCACAAGCACTAGGCTGAATCCCTGTGGGGAAGAAAAGAGGAAGTTTAACGACCACAAACATATTAACATACACAAAACAATGGTCTTAATGATAATTTCGGTTCCTGCATCCTACCATTTGTAATATATTATACCCCACTTATTTGCTCACTACCCTCCGTTAAAATTTCGTCTGAAATGTGCTGCTAGTGGAGTTGAGTAATAATTAATAAACACGCTCTTGCTGATACACACATGATATGCGAGAAATCACTTTCACCCCTCAATCTGACTAACTAAGTTTAACAGATGTTCCCTAGGAATAAAGAGAGGAGAGGAAAATGTTGGGAGTCGAATGAGCCACATAAGTATTACATGCAGTGTGAGTCATCAAGGACGCGTTGACCATATCCTGAACTAACAACAAATTTAGATAAAACTTCCACCAGTGAAATTGGAAATTTGTAAAAGCATAGTATAGTAAATGGACCACTATGGCATGGTACAAGGTTGTAAAATTACATTACCACAATATAGTTCAAGGGGCTCAAATTAGCCTATAAGATGGTATAAGTTCATGAAAACTTGACTACTTGCCTTATTGGTTGTGATAGAAGAAGATGGTGATGCAAAGGCAACAGACCATTCTACTTTCAGAACATCAAAAATCAAGGTCTCTGAGTGTCCTGCAGATACAGAGAACATACATTACATTATGACTCCTTAATTGCCAGAAGCTGCTGATTGTAGCTCCAAAATTAATGGCTCTGGATTTAGAATGCTTACTTTTTTTTCTGCTTCCTCCACCAGCTATGTACCACTTGGTTCCAGAAAGAACTCCACAGCAACCAGCTCTAGGCGATGGATGGAAACCCTTAATCTTTATCCTCGACCATACCATCTGAGACCAAAAACAGGAAAAAGGGAAGATCATAGATCAATTTCACCAACATTCTGAAGCCAGTAAACCATGCATCCAATCAGCAAACATGAATGCATTTGGTTCTTACCGATTCGAAGTCGAGAGAATACAAATCGTTCAAGGTACGCGACTTTGATGCCCCTCCAAAGATGAGAAGGGTCTTATCATCACAAAGAGCAGCTACATGGTTCGATCTAGCGGAAGGTCCTGTTCCCCTGCAAAGCAAAGCATTATAAGCAATTCTTAAAACTTGAAAAACCATTCATAGGGCAGAAGCAAGTAAGTCCGACATGAAACAAAAACTTACGTGCAGTGCAAAGGAAGCCATGTAAGAGACTTGAGATCAAACATGTGTAGATCATTCAGTTTTCTCTTCTTGGAATCTTCACCACCGAATAGGATTAGTACGGAGCTCGATCTGACCACAGTGTGACCGCTGCGAGCTATCTGAAAGAGGAATGTTTGCTTGTCTCAAAACTCAAAGGCAAATCAATGATAGGTAGAATCTAAGTGAAAAGAAGTACCGGTATATCGCCTTTGGCTTCCATAAGAGACCAACATTCACTTCCTGTATCAAATGCCCACACTGGAACAACCCAAAACAAAAGGAATCAACCAACAGATTGAAGATCAAGAAAAACACAAGACCAAATGAGAAAGCAATGAGTATTCCAACCTGAAATTCTCTCACTTGGAGAATCAGTTTTCCCTCCAATTAGAAGTGCCTTTTTACCCCAAGAAACCTACAGAAAACAACTCTGTCAGTCCACAAGCAACTCACTTCACAAGCAAAGTTGAACCCCTCTCTCTCTCTCTCTCTCTCTCTCTCTCTCATACACACAGTACCAAACAGTGGCCTTTGCATGCAGGGATCTTCAATGGCAGGCTGCTTGGTGAAAGGTAAAGCTTGGATGTAACGGTGGTCCATGTAAACTGGTCAAAATTAAGCACCTGATGATAACCAAAAAGAAATGAGATGAATAAAAAGAATGATTAGTACAGTCCTCTGCTCAAAGGGGAAAAAGGAACCCAATAAAAACCCTTTTTACAAGACAAAAGGAAAAGGTAGCTACCTGGACATCATCCAACAAACCACTTCCAGATTCACCACCAACCACTATCATTTTGTTGCCAATTACAGTTGCTGCATGCTAATTCAACCAAAAGGGTAAGCTTTATATCTCGTCAACATTTGTCCAGAAAGTTACAACAACTAAAGGCAAATAGCATCATCTCACATTGAACCTAGGAGCTGGTTTGTCTCCAGCAATAGACAGAACCATCCAATTCTCAGAGTTCCCTGAAGTTGAGCTGCCAATATCAGCAGCTGGGCGAGCTGACTTTTGGCATTCACAGTCAAGCTGATCATCACAATGGCTTGTTGTGGCCGCACCACCCCCATCATTATGCTATAAACAAAAGAAACAGAAAATTATACAAGGAAAACCCCACCAAAAAGCAAAAGGCGAAAAAATGGGGAAAATGGAGACTTACAACAGGAGGGTTTGGAGCTCTTTTTGGAGGTCTAATGGGGCTTCTAGCTCCTGGCGTAGAGATAGAATCAGATAGCTGTACCTTCTTCACCCTGAAAAGCAAACAAAAGGAAAACTGAAGTGAGAAAGAAACTAAGAACTAAAAGGGCAGCAAAAGGGCAGACGAGGGTAAAAGAGCTGAACAGACAAGACTTGACCTGCCAAGCTTCATACGTTTCTTGGAGAAGCCAAACATCTTCGAGGTAAAAACTCTACTAGATTAGACAAATCTCTCAAAACAGAACAGAACCCTAAGGAGAAATCTCAAAGGACTAATGGATGCAGCAGCCTAGCTCATTGTAAAGGAAACCACCATGGTTTTTAGCTCAACAGAGGCAATGGGAAGCTTTCACGGGACACAAATTTAACTGACAGAAGACCGGAAACAAAAATCAGACACCGACCCTTCTCCCCATTTTCATCAACTTGTTTGGTTGCGGAGAAAATAGCAGTAGCAGAGAACAAGGACAAAGGGAGGGGGGGAGAAAAGAAAGGACTAGACCCCTTTTTCCTGGGAAAATGAGTAAAAGGCGAAGGAAAAGGACGAGCAAAGCGCCGCAGTAAGTAACTTCACTACCGCCAATGGCGATGAAGACAGGGGAAATGTGATAAGAGAGAGGAAAAATGATAAGCTGGCCAGCTGGGTTATGGAGTCCACATCTCTCAAATGGTAGTGATAATGTGATTCTTCATTGGGGTTTCAGCTTTCTGGGTTGTGTTGGGATCTCTGAGCTGATTCTGGCTATGGCGACTTTTCGCTTCCAAAGCCCAAAAACGATTTATGGGGAAGCAAACAAAAAAACAAAAAACAAAAAATGGAAAAGCTGGAATGGGAAGTTACTGCAGCTGCTGGGGAAAGTGTTATTCTTTTCTATTTTATTGAATAGTGTTTTGATAATATATTATGTGGTTTTGAGAAGGAAACATGTGATGGATGGTTGGTTGGTCTGGCATTTTTGTTTAATGCTTCCTTGCACAGAGCTTTGTGATGTGTATCTCTGTGCTGAAAATGGTGAAGGTGACCGTTGGGGGAAAATGCAGAAGAAAGATGGAGCTGTGAACTTGCTACTTTGGTTTCAGTTCCAGGCAATGTTGTATGTTCTTTTAACTTCTTGCTGGTGGCAATCTTTTGTTTGATTTTGTTTCCGAACCTATCTAGTAAAATCCTAAAAACCGAAGGTAAATTTCCAAAGATCGCCTTGAAGTTTATATATAACAAAATGGAGAATTAAATGAATGTGGAGTTTTCATTAACTACTTATTTAATTTACATTTAAAGAATTTTGTTATTGTGATTTTGAGAAATTGTCTATCCCTTCTGACAATTGGTAGATCAAATGACACACTAATTTTATTGCAACATTCTAACATCAGATACATTATGTAAGAAGGAGATGATCGAGAGGAGAGAGATTAAGAGAGTCCATGTATGTCATTATGGATTTTACTAAGTTTCGTGGATTGAGTTTTTTCTGTTATGATTTTGGTTTTGAGCTATTTGTGGACTATTGTGAAATGTGAAGTGCGTTTTGGGGGTGCGGATTGAGCAGTGTATACTATTTGTTTTCGTACAACTGTGCTTTGTGAGATTTCAACTGCTGGACATTATTTTTGTCAGACCTAGTTGATCTGCACAATATCACGGTCGAACGGAACAAGCACCAAAACATGTTGGTTAGCGTCTTCACTTGAAAGCGATCATCTGCGTGAGGAGGTGGTCGATCGATATAGAAAACTCATGTTACTGTGTGCACCTCGTCTTCACATCGGTCGACACGAATACCAAGAGTTTGGCCTCTTCAATGGAACGCCCCCACTATTTAGCTCTCCGATGGACCTCAATATGTTATAACATAAAGCCAAACGATCCTGTTGAGGCATGACTTTTCCATGAAATTCAGACGACTTTGTAGAATAAGTGATCAATAGTATTTTTCTTTACGAAAGCGATCAACCGTTTTCTCCAAATGAATGTGTTTTGGAAGTATATATCCATATTTTTTTTGTTTATAATTCTCTTTGTTACCAACAAGGTGTCTATTATACTATTTAACAAAGATAGGAATTAGGATGTTGTACTAACACCCATAGTTAGTAGAATACGGTACGAGAAAGTTACGTAAAAAATACGTACGGGTATTATATTTTGTCTCTAAGCTAAAGTTACGTTTAATAGTAAGCTAAAGTAAAATAATACATGTTATTAGTGATGCCTATTAGATGATGACTCACTCATTATATCTTGTCCTTTTCTTATGAGGAAATTATCAACTGATGATTGGAGATGCTTTAGAGAGGAAGACTCCATTACGAAGGAAGTTTCTCTTTCTCTCTTCTCTCACTCTGTGTCAGTTTCGTGTCTTTTTGCTCTTCGGAGCGTTCACAGAGCTGCCCACCTCGTGGCATAACAGGCTCTTTCATCAGGAGTCCGGTTGTATACGGACTACCGTTCATTATTGTAGTTTTTTTTATTGTTGTTGTCCGGCCATGCCTTGGGGGCTTATCTTGGAAAAAAAATTCATTAATATATAAAATAATATTTTTAAAAATAAATAAAAATAATATTAAAGTTAACAATTTAATTCGTAAAATACGAATAATAAACGTGTTATATGATTTTTATACGTGTTAAGTACGGAAGCCAGCAAATGAATGGGGAAAATGAAACGGCTTGATAATAATATAGAAATGAAAGTTTTAAATGAATAAAGTAGGTCCGGAGATATGTATATGTGTATTAAACGGAGTATTTATCACCCTAGCGTGGTTAAGTAATCTGCGTTTGGTGGTGAAAAGAAATTACAGCGGGCGGGCCGTGGGTGGGATGGGCGTTTGGTGGTGGAGCCCATTTGTTTGGGGTTGACAGGTGGGCATTGATTGCGTTATGAGGGAAAGTGGGCCAGAAAGCTGACCGGGTCGATCAGCTCAGGCGGGGACCTCTTTTGGGTTTTGTTTCGGTAATTGGGCCCATAGATTTTTTGCCCATTTTTTTTTTAATATTCCTCTCTTTTCCACGCACACGTGTTACCGATCGGAAATCTATACGATCCCCACACTTTCCTATTCTTTACTCCTACGAATGCAATCTTCTTCCACATATTTTTCAATATATGAATTAAAGAGGTATAAAAAAAAAGGTATGGTCTTGGGCTTGTGGTGCTTTCCATCAGGCCCATTCGCCAGACTTTCTACTGGTTCTAATGCAATTAAGCAGAAAGCCCAGATCAGTTCAGCCTGTAAACTTAAAAGCCTGCATTGCACTGCAACAGAAGGAAAAAAATGCATCAGGTTTTCCTTGAAATTTGATTCACGATCCTTGAATTATGGTCGTCAAGTAGATTTTTTTTTGCCACTGTTGATATTTATTGACGAGTTTGATTCGGACAATGGTAGTAGTATTTTAATAAACTTGTAATCCAACAATATCGTGATATAGTAGTGTCAATTGTGATCCAGTGATGATGTGTTCTAAGTTTTGTTATCTCGCTACAATTTCTTTACTTTCCTATCCTCTCTTAAATGTAATCGTTATAACTTTCTTATACCGGATACGATCTTGAATAAATTTTACTGCATTTTGTTAGTATCCAACTTGAATGATGCTTAACTAGTTATTGCTTAACTGGAACAGTGGATGTATGTGTATGTAAACAGTGAACTTGTTAATGAATTGAATGGTTTGTGTGGAAACGGGGGAGAGGAAGTGGAGCTATATATATAAGCAACTCTGATACCATGCATGTTGTAATTAACTAACACGTCTCAATAACTCGTGTTATTATTAATAGATGTCTATGTATATTGATATTAACCACTTTCGTGCACTCTCTTAATCTTTTCGATTGTTTAAGAACCATCTCACCTATTAACCACTTCCTTGCACTACTCTTTTAATGGGATAGTATCTCACCTATTAAACTACAATCCTATGAACTAATAAGTTAGCTTTCTTTTTGTTACGTGTTAGTAAGTTTTAATCAATCGAACTGAAATACAAAAGTATCGTAAACCGCCATCGCATTCGTCATTTAGTACAAGCTGCTATTTTTGTTTGCAGCGCCTGGACACGCTTAGATGTCGCCTGAGAAGCAAGTCGCTAAACACGCAACGCTAATATATGACTCATTTTTTTTATATGTATATGTAAAAAAGTTAAACTATGATTCCTCCTTCCTCGCTGCTTCTTTTCTCCACTTCCATACATATACGATCTTCCTCTACAATTTGCCCCACCATTACATCCAAATTCCAAAACTCCATGATCATGATGGTCACCTTTTTTCTGTTTTGCTTGGTTTCGAAAGAGTGCAAGGCAGGCAGAGCATTTCTTCTGGATAAATTCTGAAAGGGATCCAATCGTCGGGACCGATCTTGCACTGCAAATATAATTAAGATTCCCATCTGTCGACGAAGCCATATGTATTACATGTCTCTCTGGTCAGGCCGAATCAAAATAGTAGGCCGGGGGACAAATGTCAAAGCAGCAATTGCAGATACCAGTTGAAATTGAAGCAAGGGCCGCCACAACTAGGGCTGCAAATGAGCCAAGTCGAGTCGAGTTTTACTCCAGTTTAAGCTCGGCTCATTAATAAACGAGTCGAGTTCGAGCTCAACTCGTTTATTAACGAGTCGAGTCGAGTTCGAGCTAGCTTGTTTATTAAAATCATAACTTTTATTTGGTACTTCATTTTGTATATCATGATACATATAATTTATTTTATTAGCTAATCTCATATTATACTTTGTTGGTATCATATATAATTTAGTTAATAAATTTAACTACTCGAAATCATGTTATTTCACAGTATCGAAGCAATCTATGATGCATAATTTTTTTTTATAGTAGAAAATAAGATGTATTTGCTCACATACTCAACGTATTAAACTTTATATATGGTGATATATATAATTTAACAACCATATGAATTAAAATCATAAGATATAGATTGATTCGTCCATAAGTTGGTAATCGAGTTGGCTCTCTACCCACATGTTAAGACATCATGAGCTCTAAACGAGTCAGCTCACGAGTTTAGCTCAACAAGCAACCGAGTTGAGCTAGCTCGCGAGCTTCACGAGTTGAACAAAGGTGAGCTCGTGTTCGGCTCATTTATTAACGAGTCGAGATTCGAACGAGCTTTTCTCGAGTCGAACGCCGAGACGCTCGCGAGCAGCTCGATTCATTTGCATCCCAAGCCACAACCGCATTTAGTAAATGGTATAGTATTCACTACGAAACCTCTTCCAACAACTCGAATGATTAAAATTAATTGGTTCTTGACATGGTATCAGAACCTTCTGTAACCGCATATAGTAATATGAAACGGTTGAACCATAGTTAAATTATGACTTCAGTATAAAATACTCTAATACCAACTTTTTCGATACGGTTTTACAATCCTTTGGTACATACAATTCTTTTACACTCGTGGAAATAAAAGTTTTAAGGCACATTTTGAACTATTTATTGCAAAAAAGCATAAGTCAAATAGGGATAATGAGAATATGCGATCTCATGCAACCCAAAAGACACTTTGCAACTTCTATCTGTTTAAAATAAATGTACGTTACTCATACCCTCGCTCATTCATCAACTTAATGAGTAACATATATTTCATGTAATATTATTTTCATACTCTTTTATTTATTGAATTATTTCATGAAAAAATATTTGCTGCATGAAAATTACTACATTGTTGCTAGACATGTCTGCAATCTGAGAATAATTTGGGAAGTCCATACACAACACATTGTCCAACTAACTATTAGCGACAGTTTAGCCGCATCATGTCCGATATATTTCAAATCAAGCAACTTCTGATTCATTACCAATAGTGTGGTAAAAAAGAATGCTCTGTATTGGGAAAAACTTAAAGGACATACTAAACTCTATGAGACATTTTCTTTCATCCTAAAGGTTGATTATGTATGTATTATGAGAAACAACTCTAATATTCAACTATATGGTTTAATTAAGTAATGAATGACAATTAGTTATATTTATTTTTTCCATTCAATAATTATGTGTAATGCTTATATTATATTTTTGTTCTCTTTTCATGGAGGTCTAAACACATTATGCATAGTTGGATCACTTTCAAAAATATTATATGCATAACTAAGGTAGAAGACAATAATTTCATGCAATTCAAATCATCTACTATATCCATTATTAATTATTATGTAGCATATTCCTCGACAAAATTCTTCCGGCCAACGGGTCGGGCCCTGTGCTAGTTTAGTAAATGGTATAGTATTCACTATGAAACATCTTCCAACAACTCGAGTTATTGAAATCAACTGGTTCTTGACATGATATCAGAGCCTACTGTGATCGAGAGGTCATCTGTTTCGAATCCCAATGACCACATCTGTTTCTGTTAAGCACATGATGTCTGGACATGTGCAAACTTCAAGCCCATATATGGTGCCTTTAGTTTGAGGGGGTGTGATACAGTAGTGGTAGAGGGAGACCTTGAGGAGAGGGGTCCTTGGACACCATTTAGCAAAAAATTGGGTACCAAAACCCTTTAAATATATGTGTTTTAGCCGATACTTGAAATATACCCCATACTTTTGCTGATTCTGCCTCATGCGACCTCAATCAACTCAAAATTTTTAAGGACCACAACCCATTCAAAGTCTGGCTACGCCATTAGTGCATGTGATAGTAAATGATATATAATTCACTATCAAACCTCTCTCAACAACTCGAGTTATCGAGATCAACTGGTTCTTGACAGAACTAACTAAGGCCGCATTTGTAGCTATGTAGGTGAATATAGAATATAGTTACAAAGAGAGAGATGCAAGCAACGTATGCATGCATGGACCATCTCCAATTCTCCATTGTCTGTTTTTTTTTTTTGCGATGAGCTAAGCCAACCATATATGGCAGGAGATCAGTGCGTCTCGAACATGGAATTTCGCAGGAGAGATGAAAGCTAGGTAGGTCTCCATTCTCCAACATGCATTCTTTCTCGCGTTATGATTGATTCCTCACTACGTATAAACATGCATTATTACAATACACGCGTACGTATAAACAACCAATTAAGATCGTTGACGAAAAATCTAGAAGTATGTATGTATTTATCGTAGTCTGAAGAACACACTGCCACTTTCTTTCTAGTCCTCTTATTGCTGCCTTCTTTCTTTCTTTCCCCGATTCGATTCCCTCTCTTACACAGAGAGAGAATGCACGTATCCATTCGATCTCCCACAATATATACGTACGTAGAGGAGTGGACATATATTATTCGTCATCGACAAGGATCGGTCGTAGTTTTCAGCCTCTGAGATTTCGCCACGAATATGTTATATTCTTACTGTTTATGATATGAAAACAGCCCCAACCGGAGGCCAAGGGCCAGATTATTAACTCATTCGAGGGTCGCTCTGCATGTTCTTCTGCTACTTGAATTACGTTCCACGTACGAAATTGTGCGGCAGTCGAATGGGTTAGCACTTAAACTAATGGAGGATAAAAAATGTACGTATCACATGTTAAATTGATGATTTATATTATTTTATCTAATATTGGACCTCTCATAGGTGGATACGAGTATACGACACTCTTGATATTTCTAGTGAGATGTTTCTATGGAGACATGAATTAAATCAATCGAGTTTGGAGTATAATACTATACCCTAATATAAATTGGAACTGATACTTACTGCACTTTGTTTGTATCCGATTTGAATTTGCTAATTAACTAGCTAGTTGTACACTTGTACGTAGCTGTTTGATCAATCAAAGAATTCACATGGACAGGCACAAGAAATTATAAAAGCATCTCATATCATAACTTTATTATACATTAGTACGTAGTAGAAATATATAGAGGTATTACAAAAAGTAGGAGATTCGTCACTTTTAGTCATCAATTACATCATAAAGTACCGCAAAGCCTAAGCGTGAAATCCCCATAAGTAGACATTTTTTTAGTACCCTCTGATACTTAGCCAAAAAAGCAGAGGTTTTTATGATCATTACCATCATAATTATGACCATGACTAATTAAGAAGAAGGAAAAGAAGAGAGTACTCCATAGTATATATAGTAAAGTTAGCCAAAATTTCGACCCATGTGATGATCGACTTGATCAGAGCCACAGAGCGCCGGCCCGTTTGAGCATGGCAGACAAGGAACCATTGAGATGAAGGGTCATGATCTCATTGGCACCGCCGACAAGGTTCCCGCCGATGAACACCACAGGAAAGTCACCGGCAACACCGTGTCGAGCCAAGGCCTGCTCGATCTCCCGGCCACCGGGGACCTGGTCGAGCTCGTAGACGGTGGGGTTGACACCAAAGTCGAAGAACAAGGTCTTGATGGTGTGGCACATGCAGCAAGTGCTCTTGCTGAACACCACCACCGGCCTCTCCGCTGCCAATTGGAACACTCGCTCCATTTCTTTTTGAGAAGGATGAAGAGTAGGCAATGGAACAGTGAATAAAATAGTGGACTTGTGAATCGGTTGAATTTGGTTTGTGTGGAACCGGGGAGGGGAAGTGGAGCCTATATATAGGGAAAGGGAAAGTATTCAATACGCTTAACCAATAAGACGAGGAAAAAAGGGTTAAAGAAAAGTTGGATAGAATTTGGGTTGGGATTGGAGAGGATGGAAAGAGGATAATAAGATTCTCGAGGAGTACGGCCGGCCGGTGGAAAAAAGGCGTTATATGATTGCCTTATGGTAATACCAAGATTTGGTGCAATGAATTGGTGTTTCATTTAGGGTTAAGGAATTTGGCTAGGAATCTAGTAAAAGAGAGGTGGGAGGAAATGGAAGGATGTGGGCGCTAGGGCAATGTTTTCTTTCTTGCATGTTGTACGTACGGTTTCACATTTACCGCGAGATCAAATATTACCGCGACATACAAACAGTACGAACATGGTGGACAAAAATGACAAACTATACCGACAATCCATACGAACTGAAAAAACATCCGGGTTGACTTTGGAGGCTCCATCTCTATATAGAGAGGCTCCTTCCCAAAGTCAACCCGGGTGTTTTTTAGACATACAAACAGTACGAACATGGTGGACAAAAATGACAAACTATACCGACAATCCATACGAACTGAAAAAACACCTGAGTTGACTTTGGAGGCTCCATCCCTATATAGAGGGGCTCCTTCCCAAAGCCAACCCGGGTGTTTTTTAGACATACAAACAGTACGAACATGGTGGACAAAAATGACAAACTATACCGACAATCCATACGAACTGAAAAAACACCCGGGTTGACTTTGGAGGCTCCATCCCTATATAGAGGGGCTCCTTCCCAAAGTCAACCCGGGTGTTTTTTAGACATAAAAAACATTACAAATATGGTTGACAAAAATGATAAACACGATACACAAAAATAACAAAGTTTACAAACATTACAAATAAAACCGACAAACATTACAAAATAACAAAGCGTACAAACATTACAAAAAAAACCGACAAACATTACAAAAATAAGAAAGCGTACAAACATTACAAAATAAACCGACAAACAATACAAAGCATACTAATAGTACAAAATCTCTCTCTCTCTCTCTCTCTCTCTCTCTCTCTCTCTCTCTCTCTCTCTCTCTCTCTCTCTCTCTCTCTCTCTCTCTCTCTCTCTCTCTCTCTCTCTCTCAAGCCATACAGCCATACAAGCTTGCTGGGGACACAAAACAAAAAATCCCCCCCCTCTCTGGCCGTGGCTATTGCAGGCCACAAAAGAACTCTTTGGGGACAAAAAATCCCACCGCCGGCAAAAAAAAAAAAAAAAAACGACGGCGAGGGTTGGGGTTACAAGAATCCCGCCGCCGGGACAATTCCCCAGAAAAAGAAACGGTAGCGGGGACGGGTGGAGAACAGCCCTATGTATTTTTTAATTGCTAAATAAATTAATTATGTAATTACCACCTTACCCTTCATTAAATTAGATAAATTTTAACCATTAGATTTTAATGAGGCTTAATGGTTGAGATTGGCTTAGTCATGTGACTAAGGGACCCCCCCTAGTCACCTGATCTTAGCCCTGGACTTTGTCTAAACTACATTGTTTGCTTCATGGATATAGGGGCAACTAATCCGTGGACCCCACAGATTTTAAGGGTCCAAATCCATGGATCTCATGGATTTGAAAGTTACACCTCTTTAGGTGGGAGTTGATCATGGACTTTTGAAGTCCATCATATATGACCAAGCTACGTACCCTTCCTACTATCTTTCTCTTCTCATATCAACGAGGGCAGTGTAGGTCAATTTTACTTCATACATACAAATCTAATTAACAAAGTCCATAATGAAATCTATGAAACAAACAATGGTATTTTTAAAGTCCATAATGAACCAAAAACTCTCATATATCCATGGTTTTATAAAACCCAAGTTTTACCAAAACCTTCATTATTCAAATCAATGAAGCAAACGAACCGTAAGTGTCCGGTGTGTTAGGTAACGTAAAAACGCTTCAATTAAGGGATTCACGGTGAGTATTAGGTATTCAGAATACGATGACGAAGTAAGGTGACACATTGTGGAATTAGACGGAATTAGGTAGTCAATATCAAAAGGGAGAAATCAACATCATCTCCAACTCGATCTCCTGTCATAAATCATTAGGTCTCAATATATAATTCGAGTTGTTGGGAGAAGTCCATATATACATATGGATCTTAACTATTTCTTATGCACACCCACTCAAACGAAATCCAATTGATCAAGGTCTTGAAGTTTGCACAGACCCAACATATACCATGTGCTTGAATGAACTGCTAAATATTAGGTGTCGTGAGAATTTGAATATATGACTTCATGACGGATGCTTTGATTCCATGTCATAAACCAACTGATCCTACTAGCTCATATTGTTTGTAGATGTCTATGTATGGATCTTAACAACTTTCGTACACTCAAAGCAGTCAAAATCCCGATTTAAATTCTAAAATCCTACGATTTATTTTACGACTTTACTAACCTGTTTCGATCTTGATTTCACTATAAAATCTATGGACCTTAAAATCCTATATTATTCACGATTTAAATCCTTAAAATATTTAAAATCTTATGATTTTACGATTCAAATCTTAGTGTTAATTTTACTTGTTTTCCCTAGAATTTGCAAAATCACGCCTCTTTTCCTTCTCCTACACCGACATCATCTAGTTCTCGCTCACTAATCACCATCGACCATCATCAATTCACATCAACTTACTAATCATCATCGATTCACCACTTCCCAACGTTAACTTTGATAAATTGGAACATTACCCTTGAGAAATTATCATTTTAAGTGTTAGGTATTTTTGTGTTATTCGTTATTTTCCTTCTTATTATTATGCCCTCTTCGTTTCTATATGAACTTTAAAATCTTACGATTTTACTATTCCAATTTTACCCCCTTTTTCGATTTTACTTAAAATCCCGATTTTGACTGCTATGCGTACACTCTCTCAATCTTTCCAATATCTCAAGAGCTAAGCGAGCTACTATACTACGATCATGTGAACTTATAAGTTATTTTTCTTGTGGTTACGTGAAGAGTAAGTTCTTAATCATTTGAACTGAAGTACTAAAAGTATTGTAAATTGTTGCTGGATTCATCATTTAGTATAAGCTTCTATTTTTACTTATACCATCTAGACACACTTAGGCAATCAGTTAGGCACAAGACAAGGCCTCAACGCTAGTTTTACGCTAATCATTCATTTGTTATATATGTAAAAAGGTTAAATGTGATTCCTCCGTTGCTCGCTGCTTCTTTTCTCCACTTCCATACATATACGATCTTCCTCTGTCAACTTGCCCCACCATTACATCCAAATTCCAAAACCCCATGATCGCGATGGTTTCGAAAGAGTGCATGGCTGCAGATCGAGCATTTCTTCTGGATAAGATATTATGCAATCGTCGGGCAGGGACCGATCTTGCACTGCAAAACTCGGATTCCCATATATCGTCGAAGCCATATGTAGTACGTACTCTCTGGTCCGGCGCGAATCAAAATAGTAGGCCGGCCGGCCTCGAGGGCAAAATGTGAAGCAAAAGGGCCACAACCGCACGAACTAATTAAGATCGAGGCTGCATTTCTAGCAGCTACTATAGGTGAAAATGGAATAAACACAGAGAGGGACATGCAAGCAACGTATGCATGCGTGGACCATCTCCATTGTTGATGATGAGCTAAGCCAGCCATATATGGCAGGAAAAAAATTCGTCTCGAGCTTGATAGCTTCTTCACTTTATATTTCTCCAGCACACAGACAGGTCAATATTGCATGGCTCGAAGTGATCGTATATGGAATTTTGCAAGCTAGGTCCACTCCTTTCTTTTTTCCTTTGGGATTCCTCACTAGCTACGTACAACATATATATGCAGTATTATAATACACGCACGCACGTACGAGTTATAACTATCAAGATCGTTCACGAGAACTCTAGAAATATGTATTTACGTATTGTTGCCTTCTTTCTTTCATCGATCGATTCGATTCGATTCTCTCTGTGTCGAGAGAATATGTACGTACGTATTCATTCGATTTCCCACTATACATAGAGCTAGGAATAGTGGACATATATTAATTATTCATCATCGCGAAGGATCGGCCGTAGCTTTCAGGCCTTGAGACTTGGCCACGTACGATATATTCGGAAATGACAATCCTACTGCGTACGATCTGTTCTTTTAATTTCCTTCAAATGGACGCATGCAGAAGTGTAGTCGTGAGGTTAATTAGTACGTACTATCTAGGACAAGGTTATGAAACAGCCCCAACCGGAGGCCAAGGGCCAGATTAATCCATTCGTTTTATACCCTCAAATGAGAAAGCTCAAATCTCAAATCTTCAATGGGCAAAGTGCATGAGTTAGTCCTTGTTTCGTTTTTGCTCTGTCCATTACGGAAAAAAACTTGATGAATACAAGGGATACAGTAGTACATTAATATACAAAAAAAAAAAACGAGATGGCCGGTGATACAACGCATGGTCTTCCAAACGTGAAATAAGTGTTAGAAGTGCACTTAGTCGATTTAATATCGATAAACATAGCAAACAGAATCAAAGCTAGTTTGGAATCGATATTTGGGATATTACCCAATACCTTATCAAATTTATTACTATTTAGTATTACCTAAAATCGAGTTATTTTTGGGGATTAAGGTTGATTTCAGTGTACTTATAAAAATAAAATAAAAGTGTTATTCAGTATTTGAGATTACAGAATTGAGATTTGTGTATGCCAAAATACAAAAAAAAAAAAAAATACATAAAAGACCGTAACCTCTAGTCCTTCATCATTATTTGATAACTCGCAAGCCCTCATGCATCCAACCAAACTTGGCTTTTGAGTTTTCCTAGGTTACTCTTGTTATTTTCATAATACAAAAAAGTAAAAATTCTCATTTGTCGTCTCTCAACCTCCAATCCATTGAATCAAAGATTACACATCTGACAAAAAATTGAGATATCATCATCTCTTCCTTTATCTATTTGTCCTTGCCTTATCTCTATGCAAACTCAAAACCAATTACCAAGTCTCCTAACCCCCAAACGAGAAACCTGTGTTGAATCCATTCAATGCAGAATTAGACTTAAATTCCCATCACAAGGCTTTTCAATCTTGAAATTAAAGCTCCAAAGCATACACTCATATAAAATATTAGAGATTAGGGATAATCGAACCATTATTTATTTATTTATTTATATTATTATTAATTATGTAGGTCATTACATTGGTCTTCTGGAATATCAATACCATATCAACATATTTCATATTGAAGACCATGCGCTGTCCCTTATGCTTAACTAGCAAGTTGTAGCTACTGGAATCTCATGAAGACCACTCAAACAATATATTCAATGGACAACCAAAGAATGTATAAAAAAAACTCTCATCAAACTTTATTATACATCAGCATTAGTAGATGTATATAGAGATATTACAAAAGTTGTAGGGAGATTCATTATCATTAGGCGTTACAATTTAAAGTATTGCAAAGCCTAATACATGAAATCCCGATACATACATACATACATAAGTATATTCCCTCTGCTGCTTAGCCAAAATACAGAGGTTTTTAATCATCGTCATCATCATCATTATGGCGCATGACTAATCAGATCAAGAAGAAGAAAATACTCCATTGTGCATATTGTAAAATGTTAACCAAAATTTTGGACCCATCTCATCATCGATCTGACGATCAGAGCCACAGCGCACCAGCTCGTTTGAGCATGCCAGACAAGGAACCATTGAGGTGAAGGGTCATGATCTCATTGGCACCACCAACAAGGTTCCCGCCGATGAACACCACAGGAAAATCATTGGCAGCACCGTGTCGAGCCAGTGCGTGCTCGATCTCCCGGCCACCGGGGATCTGGTCGAGCTCGTAGACGGTGGGGTTGACACCGAAGTCGAAGAACAAGGTCTTGATGGTGTGGCACATGCAGCAAGTGCTCTTGCTGAACACCACCACCGGCCTCTCCGCCGCCAGTTGGAACACTCGATCCATTTCTGTTTGGCTTAATGGGTAGCAAAGGATGAATAGTAGGCAATGGAGCAGTGAATAAAATAGTGGACTTGTGAATGGGTTGAATGGTTTGTGTGGAAGCGGGAGGGGAAGTGGAGGTATATATAGGGAAAGGGAAAGTATGTAATACGCTTAACCAAGAAGAGAAAAAAAAAAGGTTAAAGAAAAGTTCGATACAATTTGGGTTGGGATTGGACTATTGGAAGGGGATAAAATGATTCTCGACGAGTACGGCCGGCCGGTGGAAAAAGGCATAATTATATGATTGCCTTGTGATAACAAACAGTAAGATTTGGTGCAATGAATTGGTGTTCCATTTATGGCTTTAGCAATTTGGCTGGGAATCTCGTAAAGTGGGACGTGGCGTTAGGGCACTGTTTTCTTTTTTGCATGTTGTACGTACGGTTTCACACATTTACCACGAGATGCAGAACTATTGGAGAGAATTTGTATGGACAAAGCTTTGGGCAAAAACGTATTCGTAGCGTCACTCTATGGTGCTCTTGTCGGGTTGTCGAAAGTATTGAGCCAATTTATATTCCTATTGATATAGTAAACTCTGTTGGTTACGTCTGTGGGACCACAATATATAGTATTATTGTTGAAACTTGCTTGAAAAGGCGCTTAGCTTCAGTGTCGTGGGCGTTAGGCAACGTAAAAACGCCTTGATTAAGAGATTCACGGTGAGTTAGGTATCCAAAACACGATGATAGAGTAAAGGCGACACCTCGCGTAATTAGACGAATCTAAGTAGTCAAATCAAAATGGAGAAATTCACATAATCTACAACAGATCTAGTTAGTCTTAATAAATCGAGTTATTGAAAGAGGTCTATCTATGGATCTTAACCACTTCTTAAGGAACCCTCTCACACAAAAACCAACACACCAACTTGAAGTTTGCACAGACTACACATAACATATGCTTGAATAAACTGCTAATAATATTAGAGGTCGTGAGGACTCGAACACATGACTTCATACACATAATATATGCTTGAATAAACTGCTAATATTAGAGGTCGTGAGGACTCGAACACATGACTTCATGATCAAGCCAACTCTGATAAGCTAATACTGTGTCCTAAATCAACTTGTCATATTAACTTGAGTTGTCGGTAGTAGGGGTGGGAAACGGTCCGGTTCGGTTTAACCAACACGATTTTATCCGGTTTTTTATATGCTAATTGTACTAACTCTATAACTGAAAATTGGATTGGATTGAAAAAAGTTTCAACCGTGACCGGATTGGATTGAAACCGGTCCGGTCCGGTTTTAACCAAAAACCAAACAGACTCTCAATTCCCCTTAAACGACGTAGTATTAAAAGTCAAAATTAAAAAAAAAAACACAAATAAAATTCATATCCTGACCCCTCCCACTCCCAACGGACCTGCAGCCCATTCTCTCCCTACCCAACCTCACTTTCCTTTCTCTTTCTTTCTTATTTGCTTCAATTCCATTCTCTCTCCGTCCTCACCTCACAGTCGCCTTTCCGCTGTTCGTCGACGGGAGACACGGGACGTGACAATGGGATGGGATTGGCTAGCGGTAAAGCTTGGATTCTTTTTCTTCTTCTCCTTCTCCACTTCGTGTGTGTGAAAATTGGTAAGGGAACAGAGGGGTTTGATGGTCAGGGAGGGAGAGAACAAAGAGGTGGCATCTGGAAAGTGGAAGGGGTGGTTTAGGGTTTGGGGTCCTGCCTGAGGGCTGGGTTTGGTGGGAGACGGGGAGAGTTGTCTGAGGATTGATTTGTAATGAATGTATAGTTATAGGACTAATTTGTAATATTTGTTTATTTGTTTGTTTTAATAGAACTTTGTAGATGTATGTATATGTAAATACAACAAGGATATTATAAGTTTTCATTTGATGAAATAAAAAAAAGTCAGGTGGCGTTTTCTGTTTTACAAGCAAACATGGTATCAGAGCCTAAAACTCACCGTTCTTGATTGTTCTTTATTCTTTTTTTTTTTTTCCTTCGAGGGTTATTGGGCTGGGTTGGGGGATGGGCTTTGGTTGGTTTTTGTTCATCCGGTTTTGCCCGGTTTTAACCGGATTGGACCGGGCCAGTTTTTTATATGAATACTACAACCGCAAACTGGATTGGGTTAATTGGAATTCGGTTTTCAGTTACAACCGGAACGGTTTAAACTGCCCAGTTTTCGGTTTGACCGAAAAAACTAGGACCGGATTTCCAGCCCTAATCGGTAGATGTCTACGTATGAATCTTAACCACTTTCTTACACTCCCTCAATCTTTTCAATAGCTCAACAATTATATATGTGAGCTATTGAACCACAATCTTACAAACTTGTAAGTTATTTTCCTTGTTATTACATGTTGCATAAGTTCTTAATTAATTGACCTAAAGTAGTAAAAAAGTGTTGTAAATTGGTACTGCATTAATCATTTACTACAAGCTGCTACTTTTGCATGTAGCGGCTAAGCATGTTTAGGTGACGCCTAGAGGTGGCAAATGGATTGGATTGGTGGATCCATGGATCAAATGGATTGGATCTAATGGATTGGTGGATTCATGGATTGGATCAAGTGGATTGGTGGATTATCCATGAATTCAAATGACATCTTCAACCAAGGACCAATATGTAAAATGTAAAAAGTTTAGGTACTAAAATGTCATAATGAAAATTTTTAGGTACCAAAACGTAATTTTCCAATGATATTTTTCATAAAAAAATTAAATTTTAGGTACCAAAATGTAAAAAATAAAAATTATAGGTACTAAAACGTAATTTGCCAATGATCCATGGATCCAATCCATGAATCCACCAATCCAACTGGATTTGGATTAAATGGATTGGATTAGGTGGATATTTTTAATGGATTGATGAATTGGATTGGTGGATTGGATTGAAATTGCCACCTTCTAGTGACGCCTAAGTAAGTTAGACGCTAGAAATAAAGTGCGCAACACTGGTCTTATGCTAGGGTGTGTATGTAGAAATGTTAAATAAATGTGATTCCTCCTCCCACCGTCGCTCGCTGCTTCTTTTCTCCACTTCCATACATGCATATATGATGTTCCTCTGTCAATTTGCCCCACCATTGCAATACAAATTCCAAAACCCCATGATCACGATGGCCACCTTCTCTGTTTTTTTTCTTCTTTTTCTGAAAGCTTGTATGTCAGAGCATTTCTTCTGGATAAATCCTGAAAGGGATATATATATATGATCCAATCACCGGGACCGATCCTGCACTGCAAATATAAGATTCCCAGATATCAATCGTCGAACCCATATGTACGTATTACTCTCTGGTCGAGCTAGCTAGCCCGAATAAAAAAATAGTAGGCCAAATGCACCAGCTAGCTAGAGGTGAATATGGAATAAACACAGAGAGAGACATGCAAATATGCATGGACCATGTCCATTGTCTGTTTCCTGGTGAGCTAAGCCTAAGCCTAGCTAGCTTCTTCATTTTATATTTTTCCACCTCACTGACGTGGCTTATAGGGACCGTTTACGGAATTTTTCCTCCAGCACGCTTTTCTTTTTTCTCCTTTGGGATTCCTTAGTACGTACAACATGCAGTATTATCATACACGTATATGCATGTGTGTAAGCATTTAGGCTAGTCTGAAGAATACACGGCCACTTTCTTTCTGGTCCTCTTCTTTCTTTCCCCGATTCGATTCTCTCTTTCACACAGAGAGAGAGAGAGAGAGAGAGAGAGAGAGAGAGAGAGGTAAGTATCAATTTGATCTCCCACTATACGTAGAGAGGAATAGTCGACATACATTGTTCGCCATCACGAAGGTTCGGCCGTAGCTCCTTTCAGGCTCTGATATTTGGCCACGTACTATGAAACAGCCCCAACCGGAGGGCCAGATTATTTCACTCTAGCTAGGCAGTAGAATGGTTTTTTTTTTTTTCGTTAGAGTCATTAGAATGTATCACATGTTCAAATTCATGAATAATATTATATATGATCTTATGTTACATCTCTCATCACCGTATATCTCTAAGTCTCGGAGTGAGTGTATATGATATTGATCCGTGATATCTCCATCATCGAGATGACAAATTAAATCGAGTTTGAGGTAAGATACCAATGGTATTTCTAGTGGAATATCTTTATTTAGACAAATTAAATCAAGTTTGAAGTTAAAAATACTATATTCTAACTTTTAATGGATAAAACTCTAGGGTTTTGATTCTCTAAACCCAACTTAAAAACTCAATTTCATACATAATAATCAACGATCTGATTCGCCAAAGTAAATCCAATATCACTTAGCTAGAGTATAGTAATACTCCAAGAGCATACCACCTACTACAGAAATGAAAGATTGACGAGTTGGTCCGCCCTCATTTTTTTCTCTGCTTTGTCGATTACATAAAAATCATTCATGAAGGGGATACATTTGTTAAATGTTGGAAAGCGTACATAGCAAGAATTCTTGGAATTCTTGGTTGGTAGAGCTGGTGCTTGATGTTTGGAACCGATATTTGGGATAATATCGAATATCTTCATCAAATTTATCACTATTTAATATTACTGAAAATGAAGTTATTAGTTTTACTGGGATTGGTTTTGGAGTATTATTACGTATTTTAGATTATGGGGTTTGCACTCATTGATAACTCACAAGCCCCATGCATCCAACTCAAGCTTGGCTTTTGAATTTTCCTAGGTCACTCTCGTTTTGCATTCAATCTTATTGTTATTTAATTTTCAATATACTAAAAAAGTGAACACTCTCATTAGTCGTCTTACTTCCAATTTATCGAATCAAAGATTACTCAGGACAAAAAATTGAGATATAATCATTTCCTCCTTCTCTTTGTCTCTGCCTTAACTCTAAGAAAATTCAAGACCCATTACCAAGTCTCTTAGACCCAAACGAGGAACATGTGATGAATCTGTTCATTGGGGACTTAACCCTTAGGTCAGTTTTTATTAGGATTTTTGCACTTGCAAATTCTCATCATCAAGATTTTTAATCGTGAAACTAAACCCACAGATCATATAAAATGCCATGGATTAGGGGTTGTCTATGTATTTTTTTTTGTATATATCTATTAATTATGAAGGTAATTAATTTGGTATATCAAACAAGATCTTCAAAAAATTTAATACTTTTTGTTAATTAATACCCAATTTGAATTATGCTTAAGTAGCTAGTTGTAACTAGTTGAATTTCATTGCAGACCAATCAAACAACTCATGAACAGCCACAAGATATAAAAAGCTCTCATCATTCATCAAACTTTATTATATATTATTAGTAGTAGATGTAGATAGAGATGTTACAAAAAGTAGTGAGATTCATCATTAGGCATTACATTATAAAGCACTGCAAAGCCTAATTCGGGAAATCTCAATACGTACATACATAAGTATACATTTTAGTTCCCTCTGATACTTAAGCCAAAAAACAGAGGTCTTATCATCATCATCGTCATTATGACGATGACTAATCAAGAAGAAGAAGAAGAAAATACTCCATTGTGTATATAGTAAAGTAAAGTTAGCCAAAATTTGACTCATATGATCGATATGATCAGAGCCACAGCGCACCAGCTCGTTTGAGCATGCCAGACAAGGAACCATTGAGATGAAGGGTCATGATCTCATTGGCGCCGCCGACAAGGTTCCCGCCGATGAACACCACGGGAAAGTCACCGGCAACACCGTGTCGAGCCAAGGCCTGCTCGATCTCCCGGCCACCGGGGATCTGGTCGAGCTCGTAGACAGTGGGGTTGACGCCGAAGTCGAAGAACAAGGTTTTGATGGTGTGGCACATGCAGCAAGTGCTCTTGCTGAACACCACCACCGGCCTCTCCGCCGCCAGTTGGAACACTCGATCCATTTTCTTTCTGGCTTAATTTTCGAGTAAGTGTGAGCAATGGTGGGTTTGGAAAGGTTGAATGGTTTGTGTGGAAATGGGGAGGGGAAGTGGAGGTATATATAGTGGAACAAGCGAGAAGAGAAAAAGGTTGAAGAAAATTAGCTGGATTGATTTGGGTTGAGATTGGAGGGATGGAAAGAAGATAATATGATTCTCGAGGAGTACGGCCGGCCGGTGGAAAAAAGGCATAATTATATGATTGCCTTGTGATAACAAACAGTAAGATTTGGTGCAATGAATTGGCTGGGAATCTCGTAAACTGGGACGTGGCGTTAGGGCACTGTTTTCTTTTTTTTTTGCATGTTGTACGTACGCTTTCACATGTACCACGAGATTCAAAATTATTCGAGAGAATTTGTGTGGATATATGAAAAAGAGCATAGCTTAAGGAGTCGTTTGCTTTATAGATTTGAAAAATGAGCATTTTAGTAAAATTTGGGTTTTGAAAAATCATGGATATATGATGGATTTGGATAAGTCTATTATTTGTTTGTTGGATTTGATTATGGATTCTGTTTAATTAGTTTTGTGAATATGAAATACAAATTACCTTATTACCCTTATCTAATTATATTTCTATATTATAATCCAAAATTTTCATTAAAAACAAATCCAAAACATACAAAGAAATTTTAAACACTTTACCACTATGTGGACTAATAATTCAATTACAAATATAGAAATGTATTACATTTTGGCACTAATTAACAAATCATCTAATAATGAACGCAATATTATTATCAACTGCACTGTAATTAGTTGCTCACTTTATTGCTAAAACTCATCATCTTCTTGCTAACTCCCCGATTTTGGAATTTGACAGCCAATGATCATAAGGTGTTTATAGTTGAATCTAACAATTACATTCATATTTAAATAAAATACGATATTTCAAAACGAAATGATAAATGCTCATATTTATAAAATAAGACACTATAAAAGTTTATAGTTGCATGAACATTGAAATAAAGTAGGACAAATTTGAAATTAAAGAAATAAGTAAGGATAGAAAGGTAATTTACCATCATGAATTTTAATCCATCACCCAAATCCACCTCAAGAGGTGGAACTTCCAAGTCAGTGGGGTCCACGGATTTGGCACCCCAAAAGAGGTGGGCCCCACAGATTTCATGTCCCTAATTCCCTAAGGCAAACGATGGATTTCTATTGAAGTGTCCATAATGGATAGATTTCTATGACCAAATCCATCATCAAAACCATCAAGCAAATGACTCGTAAGTGTGCATGTGTGTCAGGCAAGGTAAAAATGCTTCGGTTAAGGGATTCATAGTGATCTGGGTATTCAAAACACAATGATGGAGTACGATGACACCTCGTGTAATTAGATGGAGCTAGTCAGTCAATATCAAAAGAGAGAAAAACACATTATCTATAAATTAGATCTTCTCTCAATAATAAAATCGTCTGCATAACTCGAGTTGTTGGGATGACGTCCATATATGGATATGAACCACTTGTTTGCACATTCCTCAATTGAAAGCCAACTCATGAACTTGAAGTTTGCATAGGCGCAACATAGCATGTGCTGGAATGGACTATTAATATCAGGTGTCGTGACGACTTGAACATATGACTTCATATTCAACCTGACTCTGATACCATGTCATAATTCACCAACTGGTCTGAATAACTCGAGTTACGTTGTTGGTAGAGGTATATGTGTAGATTTTAACCACTCCCTTACACTGTCAATCTTTTTCAATAGTTCAAGCTATTAACCACTTTCTTGTTGTTACGTGTTAAGTAGGTTTTTATTAATCATTCGAACTGAAGTAGAAAGTGCTGCTATTGTATATCATTTAGTATAAGCTCCTATTTTTGCTTGCACCATCTAGCTAGGTATAGGCGAATTAGGCGTTAGACAAGATGTCAACGTACGCTAGTCTTAAGCTAGGGTTAATTTAATATGTTTGAAAAATATTGTTGAATGTGATTCCTCCTCCCACCGTCGCTCGCTAGCTGCTTCTTTTCTCCACTTCCATACATACATATATGATGTTGCTCTGTCAATTTGCCCCACCATTACATCCAAATTCCAAAACCCCGTGATCACGATGGTCACCTTTTTTTTCTGTTTTGTCTGGTTCTGACTTCTGAAAGCTTGCGTGGCCGAGCATTTCTTCTGGATATGATCCAATCGTCGAACCCATATGTACGTATTACTCTCTGGTTGAGCTAGCCCGAATCAAAATATATATAGTAGGCCTGGAGGCCAAAATGCAAAGCAGCAATTTGCACTTTTGCATCAGCTAGCTAGAGGTAAATATGGAATAAACACAGAGAGAGACATGCAAGCAACGTATATTGCAATATGCATGGACCATATCCACTTAGGGATGGCAATGGGTCGGGTTGGGTCGGGTTTTGCCAAACCCAAACCCATGGGTTTATCCGTGAAAAAAACCCGGGCTAAAACCCACTGGATTTGAAAAACTCAAACCCAACCCAACCCGCTGGGTATCCGCGGGTTCATGGGTACCCACGGGTTTTTATCGTAAAAAATTACAATAACAAGTTCCTATCAAAATTAAAACCAAATATCAATCTCTCAATACAAATTATTCATATATAAAACACCATTCTAGAAATTCAAGCAAATCACAAATTAACTATACAAATTGTTCAACACCAATCTAGAAAACTCAAGAAAATTGAAGCAAATCATAAATTATCCATAAATAACATGATTAATTGAAAACTTCTTCCTTTCAATTAAGTTTCTTCACTTTCCACTCGATAACATCAACTTCGTTCTACACAATTAGAAAGAAAAATTAGACATGTCTCCACAAACATAAATAAGATTAGTTGTTTAGAATATTAAATATACCGAGAAAATTAATTATATGGGTGTGGGCGGGTACCCATGGGTCGGGTTTACCTAAACCCAAACCCAACCCAACCCGATGAATAGTGAACGGGTTTAAACCCAAACCCGGCCCAAAACCCGTCAACACGGATTTTACCCGCGTTGACCGGGTTGGGTCGGGTGGGTACCCGTGGGTTCGGGTTTTGTTGCCATCCCTATATCCACTGTCTGTTTCCTGATGAGCTAAGCCTAAGCCTAGCTAGCTAGCTTCTTCGGTTTATATTTTTTTTATATAATCATTAATTATGAAGGTAATTTCTTTGGTATATCATACAAGATCTTGAAGATTCTCTTAAGGGATCGTTTGGATGAGGAATTCTAATGGATCAATCTGACACAATTGTCTCGTTTTGAGTCAATTGTGCTAGATTGATCCGTTTGGCAGCAGAAAATTTGGATGAAACAATTTGGGCTGGGGAATTCTGAATTGACTCATTTTGAGCCAATTACAATTGTCTGGGGTGGGGCAGGTAATCTGAATTGACTCGTTTTACATGTCTCGTTTTGTAAAATGAAACAATTGGTCAAATTGTCTCATTTCACAATTGATCCATCCAAACGACCCCTACCCAGTTTGAATTATGCTTAAGTAGCTAGTTATAGCTAGTTGAATCTCATGAAAACCAATCAAACAACTCATGGACAGCCACAAGAAGATATATAAGAAAAGCTCTCATATATCAAACTTTATTATATATTAGTAGCAGTAGTAGTAGATGTGGATAGAGATGTTACAAAAAGTTGTGAGATTCATCATTAGGCATTACATTATAAAGCACTGCAAAAGCCTAATTCGTGAAATCTCTATACGTACATTCATAAGTATACATTTTAGTTCCCTCTGCTATGCTTAGCCAAAAAAGCAGAGGTTTTATCATCATCGTCCTCGTCATTATTACGATGACTAATGAAGAAGAAGAAGAAGAAGAAGAAGAAAAAAGACTCCATTATGCATAGTAAAGTTAGCCAAAATTTGACTCATGATATGATCAGAGCCACAGAGCGCCAGCTCGTTTGAGCATGGCAGACAAGGAACCATTGAGATGAAGGGTCATGATCTCATTGGCACCGCCGACAAGGTTCCCGCCGACGAACACAACAGGAAAGTCACCGGCAACACCGTGTCGAGCCAAGGCCTGCTCGATCTCCCGGCCACCGGGGACCTGGTCGAGCTCGTAGACGGTGGGGTTGACACCAAAGTCGAAGAACAAGGTCTTGATGGTGTGACACATGCAGCACGTGCTCTTGCTGAACACCACCACCGGCCTCTCCGCCGCCAGTTGGAACACTCGCTCCATTTCTGTTTGTCTTGATTATCGAGTATATGTGAGTAATGACGGGGTTGTGAAGGAAGGATGAACAGTAGGCAATGGTGGGTTTAGAAAGGTTGAATGGTTTGTGTGGAAATGGGGAGGGGAAGTGGAGGTATATATAGGGAACAAGCGAGAAGAGAAAAAGGTTGAAGAATAGTTGGATTGATTTTGGGTTGGGATTGGAGGGATGGAAGAGGATAATATTATTCTCGACGAGTGTTTCATTTTATGATTGCCTTATGCCAATACTAAGATTTGGTGCAATGAATTGGTGTTTCATTTTAGGCGCTATAGGGATTTGGCTACGAATCTCGAAGAGAGAGGTGGGAAGAAAGAGGGGTAATTAGCATAAATGGTAACAAACCTTTACACTTAGTACAAAACGGTCACAAACTTTTAATTTGTAACAATACGGTAACAAAACTTTGAAATTGTATAAAATGGTCACCGCTATTTAATTTGTGACCGTTTTGTTTTAAGTGAAAAGGTTTGTTACCGAATCGTTACAAATTAAATGTTTGTCATGTTTTGAGGTCGGGTAGTTTGTTCGTTAAGTATATGACACTAACCACTTGAACGACATATAAGATGTCAGGTTATGTGTTCATCGACATATTTGCTTTGCCGAATAAGAATGCCCTCAGTTGACCTTTCAATTTCGATACCAAGAAAGTAAGAAAGTAGACAGTGTTTTTTCAACTAAAAAGCTGTTCGGAACCCGTTTGTGAGCCATTGCCTCTCATTGTCATCCTTTATGACGATCATATCATTCACATACATTAACAAAACCACCATACAACTAGTGCAAATTGTAATTGTGATTGAGCGTTCAAACTTTTGAACTTAATTTGTACAAAACGGTCACCAAAAGTCTAATTTGCAACGACACGGTAACAAAAGTTTGAACTAGTATGAAATGGTCACACTGTTTAATTTGTGACCATTTTGTTCTAAGTAAAAAGTTTTGTTATCAAATGGTTACAAATTAAAGGTTTGTGACTGTTTTGTACTAAGTGCAAAGGCTTGTGACTATTTATGCTAATTACCCGAAGAAAGAGAGGGACGTGGCGACGAAAAGGGTTTGAATTAGTGGTAATATCACTAGTCTAGAAATTGGAGGTTTCGAATTTTTCTTTCTTGCATGTTGTACAATATGTTTTTGTCAAACAGAGATTAATCACAGAAATATAAGTACGAGACACGGGATTTACGTGGTTTCCTCAACGATGATCGTTGAGACTAGTTCACGGCACAAGGAAGAGTTCTTGAGTATTATTCACGTACACGATACAAAGTGAATATCGGTCATACAACCATTATATACTTGGCCGAGTATTAACCCTAAACTGGTTAATTACAAATACGTACTTCTACTTCTAACAATTTTCACATTTACCAAGAGGAGATGGCTTAGGTGCACTAAGCAATGTAAAAACGCCTCGATTATAGGATTCACGATGATCTGGATATTCCGAACATAATAGAGTAAGACGACACCTCACCTAATTAATTAACCGAATGATCTAGATAAATCAACTGATCTCGATAACTCGAGTTGTTGGAATATGTTCATATAGAGATCTTAACTCGAGTTGTTGGTAGATGTCTATGTACACTACAAGAAAAAGCATGTTTTGTAACAATAATATTCGTCACAAAAGAAGTAAAATTCCGTCGCATAACGTTTTGGTGACGAAATTTTGTCGTCACAACTTGCGTCACCTATACGCCGTTGCAAAAGGTATCTGTGACGAACCATAGGTGACGCTCTAAACCTGTCACAGAAAGAACTATAGGTCATGCCCTAAACCTGTCACAGAAAGAACTATTTTCGCCACATTTGATATTATGTGGAGTCTAACAAAAAATCGGAACTTTGGATGAGAGTTAATAAATTTGGATGAGAGTCAATAAATTTCGTCACATAAAGTGTGTTTTATGTGACAAAATTTGACCCATCACAAAAGAAATTGTCACAGAAGGCCAGATTTGCTGTAGTGGTATGTATCTTAACCATTTCCTCAAATCGATCTTTTCAATATGTGAGCTATTGAAGTATGATCTTATGCTATTTTTCAAGTTTCTAATTGTTCAAACTACATACAAAAGTGTAGTAAACGACTATTTGCATTAATCGGCCCTAACACATCAGTCTTATGTATGTAAAAAGGTTAAATGTTATTCCTCCTCCCACCATCGCTCGCTCGCTGCTTCTTTTCTCCACTTCCATATATGATCTTACTCTGTCAATTTGCCCCACCATTACACCCAATTCCAAATGGTCACCTTTTTCTCTTTTGTTTGGTTCTAAATTAAAAGATTGCATATATGGCAGACCATTTCTATATATATATATATAAAAGATCCAATCGCGGGACCGATTCTGCACTGCAAAAATAAGATTCCGATCTATCGTCGAAGCCATATGTCTTGCTCTCTGGTCGATTTGGCGCGAATCAAAAATAGTAGGCCTGGAGGGCAAAATGTAAAGCAGCAACTGCACTGCAAATATACCAGTTGAACTTGAAGCAAGGGCCACAACCGCACAAACTTAGGCTGCAGTTGCAGCAGCTACAGGTGAATATGGAATAAACACAGACAGAGACATGCAAGCAACGTATGCATATTAATGTGCATGGACCATATCCACTGTCTGTTTCGTGATGAGCTAAGACTAAGCCTAGCTAGCTAGCTTCTTCAGTTCATTTTTCCAGCTCACAGACATGGCTTAAAGGAACCGTACGTACATGGAATTCTCTGCAGCAGAGATATATGAAAGCAAGGTCCTCCTGTTAGTAAACTGTATATGATACACGATTGAACCTCTCCCAACAACTCGCATTATTGGGATCAACTTGTTCTTGATATGGTATCAGAGCCTTCTGTGACCGCGGGGTCTTCTGTTCGAATCCCGGTGACCCCCATCTGTTTCTGTTTCTGTTGAGCACACGGTGTCCGGACCTGTGCCTGTCCAAACTGAAGCCATTCCAAGCCTGTCTGAATGGCTTCAGTTTGAAAGGGGGTGTTAGTAAACGGTATATGATCCATGATTGAACCTCTCCCAACAACTCGAATTATTGGGATCAACTGGTTCTTCATACCTCCAACACTTTGTCCTTTGGGATTTTCCTTACCACGTACATACGTATATAACAATCAAGATCTTTCACGATAAATCTACAAGTATGTATGTGTTTATTTTGCACTGTTCCTGAAGAATACACGGCCACAACCGGAGGCCAAGGGACAGATTAATTCATTATAGCTAGGATCGCTATACTTCATCTGTTCTGCAACCTGAATTGCCACGAACTTGTGCGGCAGTAGAATGGGTTTTTTTTTTATATATAGAGACAGCAGGAGTTACTTCACTAATATATAGTGCTATCACATGTTAAATTCATGAATAATATTATATAAATGTTACATCTCTCATCACTGTATCTCTAAGTCACGGTGAGTGTATGATACTCGGGATACTTGGGATATCTCAATCTAGAGGTCAGACTGGTGTACTCTTGGAGTCTACTTAACATACTCATGTCAAGAGATCTCTATCTAGACCGTAAATTAAATCGAGTTTGAGATATAATACTATACCTTAACTTTTAATGGATAAACCCCGGACCCCGATTCTCTAAACTCAAACCCGAAGTTCAATTTAATAAAAAAAATATTAATTGACCGTTGAAATTGATCAGAGCTCAAAAAAATAGATCTAACGGACATACCACATTGAATATAGTATACTCTTAGAGTACACCAGTTATTACCTTCAATCTATACATATTAATTTGAATTTGGGATAAGATACTATATATATCCTAACTTCTAATGAATAAAATCCAAGTTCTGACTGTCTAACCCCAACTCTCAAAGGTCAATTTCATACATAATAATCAATGATATGATTCGCCAAGAGTATGTCTATTGAATGAGTCAAGAGGGTCTGATTCAAGGAAGACAGCAGCTACAGCTGTAGTTCACAGCAATCCTGGTCAACTTAAGAACAGCTGTATTACAGCCATCCCACAGTAAGAACATCGCATCATTCGGTGGAGGCATTGCTATGCTTCCATCGATGAAGCCCAGCTTGTGTTTCATTTTCAGACCCATGATTACTGAACGACTCCACATGGTGTAATTTGTGCCATCAAACACCTCAGTTCCTATGGATTGGTTCAGCGCTTCATTAGGGTTCAAGTATAAAGGGTTACCAAAAGTAATCACCTCAGATCTGACGGTATTTTGCTGTTGCTGCTCATTTTGTTGCTGCTCAGTGTAAGTACCAAATTGGAAACCTCGAACACCAGACATTGTTGCTCCTGAGGTTGTTGATCCAGTTGTAGCCTCCTTTCCATGGCTTGACTGCAGTGGTGTGCTCGCCATTGTAACCCTAGATGCGTCGCCGCTCTGATACCATATGGAGAAAAATTGCTAGGGTAGTAGCAAAACCCTCAAAAGTCAGGGTTGCTCTGTTTGCAGTATATATATGAGCCTCAAGATTTGATTTGTTCTTAGAAGACACTTGTCTGTTTTCCACCGGCCCTTTTACAAAATAAGCACTGTTTGATAACGGCTATTATGCCTAACACATAAACCGCACAGTTTTGTCAAAGCAGAATAAGTAGTAAATAAAACGACTACATTCCTTCTTCAATCAAAACGACTCTGTTCTTCCTCTCGTCATGCTTCTCTTCAGTTCTTCACTTCGGCTGCAACTCCTTGTGGCATTAGGATTGCAAGGTCTGCTGACATCTTGATCACTTGAGAAAGAAGAAGAAAACCAGGTTAGAGCGAGAAGATCGTAGAAACGAAATCCTAAGAAATAACTGGCGCCCCGCGCAGGTGCTCACCTGCCAGAGAAGAAGATCGATCTAGCGCTTGCCGGATCTAGGCTCCGTCAGAGGGCAGAGATCGTTTAGGAGGCTTACTCTCTGAACGCGCTCAACGGCTTCCGAAAGAAAACTAGAGCTGGAGCTGTCAAATTCTCGAGGTTCCTCGATTTGGTGCCGACTACGAGATATCTTGGGTATTGTTGCAGGATTGCATTGACGGTTCAAACCTCTCCATCAGTGGATAGACGGTGAAGGTAGGTGGTTCAAGTTAGTGGTTTAAGATTCTATATCATAGGGTATCTTGATGACTTGATAATTGATTTTTGTCTCGGGTGATTGGTAGTTTAGTTTGAGTTAGATGTTGTCGTAGCACATTGTGGTTCCCACTTTCCAGTGCCTCATATCAGGGTTTGTAGTTCATGATTAACTACTTATTTACCATTTAAGATAATTAGGAACAAGAGATTTGTTTGGTTCTTTTTATTTGATCAGATCAAATAGCACATTGATGATCCAATTTATCTTGCCGAAGTTGAGGGGAAAACATCAATCTTGGTACATTGATGCTTCAATTTACACATGAGCCTGATCAGTTCTATACTTCTATTTACCCATGAGCTTGATCAGATCGAATAGCACATTGATGCTCCAATCTATCTTGCCCTGTTTGATTCTTTTTGGTTGATGGAATGGAATCCGAGTGGGTTTTCAGATTATAGTGTGGGTGGTAAATTTTAAGAGTTGCTTTTTCGCAGCGTTGATTTTTGCATCGGAACCCAACCAACATTAGTGTCTACTTATGGACTTAGATAATTGAATCCTAGAGCTTTAGTCCTATACGTTAATGACTCAATTGATTCCTAGAGATCTAGCATTTACCCATTATGTATTATAGGTATTCTGAAAGTTGCCACTTTCATTTTCTATTCTCTGTGTACAAATAATTCATACTAGCAGAACTATAGGGGTAATGAAAACCGACGGTTTTTTATTGGTGAATTTTTGGTTTTTGTGTAATAGATACCCAGTAGCAGAATTGAGCAAGAGTGACTCTGCATTTCATCTAATCTTATATATTTTAGCTTATGAAAACTTTGATATCTTTACTTTTCTTTCCTTGATTACTTTAGTTCTCCCAAACCAATGGATTATACTTCAGTTTTCTGTAGCGAGAATTCATGTTGTTTCACTTTGTTTTATACTTCCACATAGACTTCTTTCTGTAATTCCAAGTCTGCCAGTTAGATTGAAATATCGACTAAAGCTGGTTCTTGAGTTGGAAAATACAATGTCAATCGATCTTTACCAATAGTCTAACCACAATGAAAAACTTCGGTTTAGCATACCTTGGATGAGAGTTGATAGCTTTCCCGTATTACTCTTTTAGCTTCCCCTTTTCATGGTTGAATTCATTGCGGTACGTTCTCCACGAGTTTGGTTAAGTTAACGAATTTGATGTTATTATTAGTTAATGCATTTTCAGTCAATACATGGTGTTTTCACTTTTCCAAGCGTGAAAAGTTGGGTTAAGAGTAGTCCTTAGTTTCAATTCGATGGCTAAAGAAGAGATATAGCTTATGAACTTATATGCTTCTGCTGCTATATCTCCACCGCTTTCCTGATTTCAAGCCTACTTAGGAAAGCAGCCTAAAGCAGAGAATGTGGTTTGAGACCAAAGCAGAGGGGTTCAAATTCCATTCTCCCATTTGACTTCGCTGTTCTCTAAAGCGATAAGTCATCTGCTGACATGCATATGGACTTTTTCTGGAACGTACTTGCATATGGACTATCTGCAAAGATTGTATCCCATCAAAGTTTAGTAAACCTTCTTTGTTTATTAGTTATTGTTTCTTTCCCCAATGTATCTTATAAATAATAGGGTGCCAATGCCGAGCCATTCAGATGGCAAATTGTTAGAGATGGAACATGCTTATTATGGTTCTTGGCTTACTGCTACGTACCAGAAAGAAGTTTGTGCAGAGTAGAGCAAAATTATGTTAACCGCATTATAGAAGAGTGCATGCTCTCATTCGGTCTCACCGTTGTTATTGCAATAGTGAATTAGTCAAATAGTTTCTTATTCTTTAGTTTATATGTTGTCTGAGGCGAGTTTTCTGTTACTGTATCTGGCATTTAACTCATGAAGCAGTTGCATTTATAAATGATGAAGATAGCTGATGCAGAAATATGTCCTCAATTTGAGAGCCATTTTTAGAAGTTTGTTTGTGATACTATGATCAGAAGGTAGGAGAGAATTTGAGTAGCATGATGTCGCTGCTGTACTGTCTTTGAACAGTTGTATTTTTTCGAAAAACTTGATTAAACAAGCATGAACTAAATATGAGAACACAACAATTACTGAGAAAAAAATATATTTAGAAGTCAAACTTTCTAGATGTTTGAAGGCCAATCTCTAAAAGTATAGAATGAACAATGTATCATACGAAATGCCTGCTTATGTTAATCGCGGACCATATAGGGTGGCTAATTTTGAGTTGGATGCAAGCTAGAAAAAGTCCAGTCAATTTTTATTGTGTCAGTGTAGGGTTAACATTCAATGACTTTTGATACCTGTATTTATAAAATTATTATTCTTTTTCGAAAGGAGTGGATATGAAGTTATTGAAAATATAGACAAATTTTATGAGTAAAATGAACTCCAGCAACGGATATGCGACTGTCGAGCTATTCCTGATGTGGTGTCCTTTCAATCAACTAGGCCGAAAACAAAGGGAATAAGGCTCCAATTCATCAAATCAGAAGCTTTTGCTACGGGGAAGCATCAGCTCTCATTGAAGTGTTTAAGCCTAGCTGTCGAGCATTGGGGAACAAGATATTCACTAGCCGACCACCCATAACTCCCAAAGGATCCTCGGCAAGTGAATCAGGAAACATGCCCTATGAAAAGTGAACACTTCGAGTTCGACTAGCTAAGTTAGCAGGTGAGGAAAAGGATGATCCGGCTGCACTAAGTTGGCCTTTTTCGTACCGAGTGGAATAACGTGTCAAATGTCTTAAATCAATTACAAATTCTATGGTTAGATTGGATAATTTTGGCCATTCTAAGATCATAAGTAACATAGTCAGATCTTACTGTCTATATCAAGGTTTTAGTTGCAAAAAGACTCCACATGATTTGATAAAAAGATTTAAAAAAATTAAAGTAAAGAAATTATAATGTATTATGATATTTAATTTTTACTAACAAAAATACATCATATAAAATAATCCACTGCATAGCGCGAGCTAAATAACTAGTGATTAATTATATATATGCTACAATCTCTAGTCCGCCCTCACTTAGTAATTATATATATGCTACAATCTATTGTTATTTAATTTTCAAAACACTAAAAAGTGGACACTCTTATCAATCATCTTTCATCCTCCGGTCCATCGATCAAAGATTACTCAGGACAAAAAATTGAGATATAATCATTTCCCCCCTTTCTCCTTGTCTCTGAACTCTAAAAAAACCCCATTAACAAATATTTTACACCCAAACTAGGTTAGTTTTTATTAGGAATCCGCACTTCAAATTCTCATCATGTCATCAAGATTTCAATCGTGACATTAAACCTACAAATCATACACCATATAAAAAATGTTATGGATTAGGGGTAGTGATGGCATTTATAGCCGTAACCGCGGGTATTCGACCCTAACCAATTAGGTCAACGAGGAGAATCCCCGCATTAACTGGGTATGGGACGGATATGGGTAATACCCGCAAAGAAGCTTGTGGGTATAGGGCGGGGATGGATTTGAGTGTCTTCGCCCCATACCCATACCCATAACCATATCCACCTCATCATTACTTATGTCATATATTATAAAATATAACTACTGTAACGTAGGAGTTGTATGTGGCAATTTTTATGTTCCTTGGAGATGAATAATTTGGTGTTGGATTATTTATTAGTACTTTGTTTATGAAACTTCGTAGGAGTTGGATGATCTAATTAAGATTACTAGTGGTTCTTTATTAGATTCATTAATGATTAGGTTTGATGTTTCAATCCAATAGTTATATGTTTTATTGGATTCAAGTGCGTTAATTTAGTTATAATCATAATCAGATGTACGAGGCGGGGATTACCCTTGGGTATCAGAAACCCGGGGGGATGGGGATGGGCAGGGGCGGATACATGGGCCTGTAGGGTGTCCCGGGCGGGACACCCCTAAAATTTGGGGAAACGATTATCCAACCTCCGGTAGGAGTTTCGTATGGGTATACAAAATATAATTGGTAATCCGGGACACCCTAACATTTGAAAAAATGATTATCCTACCCTCGATAATAGTTTGCTTATGATTAACAAAATATAAGTGGTAGTCCGTGTTATTCCAACCTAGGACACTACTATTATCAAACATATTCTAATTATGTTGCTACTCATTTGTTATTCTATTTAAACATCATGCATCAGTAAAACACTATTTCTTTATCCCCAACTATTTTCAATACCTAATAATTAAACTGCGTACACGCTACCCTTAATTTTGAATTGATTTTATGGTTACACGGCAAGTGTTGAAAGAGTCTTTTCTACTTTGAGCTACATTAAGAACAAGGTTAGAAATCGAATATGTGATAAGCTCGTGAAGTATTGTCTAGTAAGATGTGTAGATTTTTTTGAATAGTGCAGACACGGAGTTTATTTATATTTTTTTTCAAAATATGAATTTTAATTTATTATTTAATAAAAAAATTATACAAATTATACAAGTATGATATTTTTAATATACGAATTATTTAATTTATTATATAATTTAATTTAATTTTTGAAGAGGACACCCCTGTGAAAATTTTCTGAATCCGCCACTGGAGATGGGGATGCAAAATCTCGCCCCGCATGGGGATGGGGAGGGTATGGATTTGATAATTGAAAATGAGTATGGGATGGGTTTAGTACAATCCGCTCAAACCCGACCCATTGCCATCCCTAATTAGAGGTGATCATTATGTATTTTTTATACAACTATTAATTACAAAGGCAATTAATTTGGTATATCAAACAAGATCTTGAAAATTCTTAATACATTTTGTTAATACCCAATTTGAATTATGCGTAAGTAGCTAGTTATAGCTAGTTGAATCTCATGAAAACCAATCAAACAACTCATGAACAGCCACAAGAAGATATAAAAGGCTCTCATCAAACTTTATTATATATTAGCAGTAGATAATGTAGATAGAGATATTACAAAAAGTTGTGAGATTCATCATTAGGCATTACATTATAAAGCACTGCAAAAGCCTAATTCGTGAAATCTCTATACGTACATTCATAAGTATACATTTTAGTTCCCTCTGCTATGCTTAGCCAAAATAGCAGAGGTTTTATCATCATCGTCGTCGTCATTATTACGATGACTAATGAAGAAGAAGAAGTAGAAAGAAAAAAAGACTCCATTATGCATAGTAAAGTTATCCAAAATTTGACTCATGATATGATCAGAGCCACAACGCACCAGCTCGTTTGAGCATGGCAGACAAGGAACCATTGAGATGAAGGGTCATGATCTCATTGGCACCGCCGACAAGGTTCCCGCCGATGAACACCACAGGAAAGTCACCGGCAACACCGTGTCGAGCCAGGGCCTGCTCGATCTCCCGGCCACCGGGGATCTGGTCGAGCTCGTAGACGGTGGGGTTGACACCAAAGTCGAAGAACAAGGTCTTGATGGTGTGGCACATGCAGCAGCTACTCTTGCTGAACACCACCACCGGCCTCTCCGCCGCCAGTTGGAACACTCGATCCATTTTCTTTCCGGCCTTGTCGAGTAGAGTACGTCTGAGGAATTAATGGGTTGTGAAGGATGATGAGCACTAGGCAATGGAACAGTGAATAGTCGACTACGAACTTGTGAATCGATCGGTTGAATTTGGTTTGTGTGGAAGCGGGGAGGGGAAGTGGAGGTATATATAGGGAAAGGGAAAGTATGCAATACGCTTAACCAAGAAGAGAAGAGAAAAAAAGCTACGTTAAAGAATAACAGAAAAGTTGGATAGAATTTGGGTTGGGATTGGAGGGATTGGAGATCGGATAATATGATTCTCGAGGAGTACGGCCGGCCGGCGGAGGGGAAAAAAGGCATAATTATACGATTGGCTTGTGATAACAAACAGTAAGTCAGATTTGGTGCAATGAATTTGGCTAGGATAGGAATCTCGTCAAGTGTGGGACGTGGCGTTAGGGCACTGTTTTCATGGGGTTAGGCAACGTAAAAAAACGCCTTGGTTTGAGGTTATGTTAAAAGGTTAATAAATGTGATTCCTCCTCCGATCCGTTGCTCGCTGCTTCTTTTCTCCACTTCCTCTGTCAATTTGCCCCACAATCATTACATCCAAATTCCTGTTGGACACCTTTTTTTCTGTTTTGTTTGGTTCTGACTTCTGAAAGCTTGCATTGCATTTGCATGGCCGAGCATATTTCTTCTGAAAGGGATATATATATATCGAGATATGAACCAATCTCTCTGCGGGACCAATCCTGCACTGCAAAAATAAGATTCCGATATATCGACGAACCCATATGTATTACGTTCGCTGTGGTCGGGCGCGAATCAAAATAGTAGGCCGGCCTGCTGGAGGCCAAAATGCAAAGCAGCAATTTGCAGCATGCAGCTGTAGGTGAATATGGAATAAACACAGAGAGAGAGAGAGAGAGAGAGAGAGAGAGAGAGATGCAGCAACGTATGCATGGACCATATATATCCACTGTCTGTTTCGTGATGAGCTAAGAGTAAGCCTATCGCGCTTCTTCAGTTTATTTTTCCAGCTCACAGGCGTGGCTTAAAGGGACCGTACGTGGAATTTTGCAGCAGTAGAGGATAAAAGCAAAGCTTTCTTTTTTTCCTTTGGGATTCCTCATGCATGCAGTATTATAATACACGCACATACGTATGCGTTTAGCCTAGTCTGAAGAATACACGGACACTGCCCATGTTTGGCCCGGCTTTTAGAAGTGTTTTTCGCCTTCAAAAGTTGAAGCAGGGCCAAATACCTCTAAAAGCTCAGCTTTTGAAAAGCCGAAAAGCGCTTTTGTATGACATAAAAGCAGAAGCTCCGATTTGGAGCTTCTGCGAAAAGTTGTTTTGAAAATACAAGATTATCCTTACCATATTTTAATTTTATTTCAGAAAATATAATTTTCCTTCATTTATATCATTTTAAAAATAAAATAAATTATAAAATCATATTATTTAATATAAAAGAAATCTAACAAGATCCATGAAGAAATTGTGAACTTCTGACTACTTTTTTATTGTTTAGAATTTTTATTTATATTTTATATTATATAGTCATTTTACACAACCGCTCATATTAAAAAACACTTCTAATAGTTTTACAGCCAAACACTAAACTGTTTTTTTTTAAGTACTTATCTAAAAGCTCCAGCCAAAAGCTGCTTCTGCAAAAGCTACAACAAGGCCAAACTAAGTTACTGTCTTTCCCCGATTTGATTCTCTCTTTCACAGGAGAGAGAGAGTACGTATCAATTCTCCCACTATACGTAGAGGAATAGTGGACATACAATAATTATTCGTCATCACCAAAGGTTCGGCCGTAGTTTTCAGGCTCTCATCAGATTTGGCCACGTACTGTGAAACAGCCCCAAACGGAGGCCAAAGGCCAGATTAATTCATTCATTCTAACTAGGCTGGCTCAGTCGCTCTACTTCCTCTCTTCTGCTTCTTGAATAATTGCCACCAACTTAATTAGCTTGGGCGGCAGTAGAATTGGTTACTTAACTAATGGGCGCAGCAACAAATGTATCACATGTTAAATTAAAGAATAATATTGTGAGATCTAATGTTAGACCTCTCCCCACCGCATTTAATTTGTAGGTCTTGTTGGAGTTATGTATTCACTACGGGAAAAAGACCTTCTTGTAACACATGGATTGCAACTCTATTTTAAAGAGTTGCCTTAAATGTACAATAGCAACACTTTTTCAGTATAAAAATGTACAATAGGTCAAATTGTTTGGAGAGATCCATGTATCTTAATCACTTTATTATAGATGTTTACCAGAAAAGTATGGTAGGGTATTCTGTATAAAAATGTGGTTCAAACTTTTGCTCAAATGTTTCCTACCGCTAAAATCGCATACCGATTTGGTTCCATATCCTGTATTTCACGTTCGACTGCAGTGATCAAACTTGAAACAATTTTACATTTTGTGACTACCTAATTTGAATTATGCTTAACTGGCAAGTTGTAGCTATTTGAATCTCATGAAAGACCAATCAAACAATTCAAGGACAGCCACAAGAAGATATAAAAAGATAACTCTCATCAAACTTTATTATATATCAGTGGTAGATGTATATAGAGATATTACAAAAAGTTGGGCGATTCATCATTAGACATTACTTTATAAAGTAACGCAAAGCCTAATTTGTGAAATCCCAATACATACATACATAAGTATACATTTTAGTTCCCTCTGCCGCTTAGCCAAAAGGCAGAGGGTTTTTTATAAATATCATCAACGATGACTAATTAAGAAGAAGAAGAAGAAAAGACTCCATAGTAAAGTTAGCCAAAATTTTTGACCCATCTCATCATCGATATATGACGATCAGAGCCACAGCGCACCAGCCCGTTTGAGCATGGCGGACAAGGAACCGTTGAGATGAAGGGTCATGATCTCATTGGCACCACCAACAAGGTTCCCGCCGATGAACACGACAGGAAAGTCACCGGCAACACCGTGGCGAGCTAGGGCCTGCTCAATCTCCCGGCCACCGGGGACCTGGTCGAGCTCGTAGACGGTGGGGTTGACGCCGAAGTCGAAGAACAAGGTCTTGATAGTGTGGCACATGCAGCACGTGCTCTTGCTGAACACCACCACCGGCCTCTCCGCCGCCAACTGGAACACTCGATCCATTTCGGCCTTATAGAATACGTGTGAGTAATGGGTTGAGGAGGATGAACAGTCAGTCGACAATGGAACAGTGGATAGATGTTTGCAATAGTGGACTTGTGGATGGGTTGAATGGTTTGTGTGGAAATGGGGGAGGGGGGAAGTGGAGGTATATATAGTGGAAATGGAAATACGTTTAACCAAGAAGGGAAAAGGTTAAAGAAAAGTTGGATGGAGAAGAGGATAATATGATTCTCGAGGAGTACGGCCGGCCGGTGGGAAAAATGCATTATATGATTGGCTTGTTGTGATATGCTAAGATTTGGTGCAATGAATTGGTGTTTCATTTAGGGCGTTTTAGGAATAAGCTAGGATTCTCGTTACTCTTTATTAGAGAGAGGGAGGGCTACATACTATCATGCTTCGAAGGGGATGCGAAGCTAGTTATCGATAAGTTCAAAATAAGAGCTCCATATATACGCGCGATTGCAAAGGTGGTGTCGTATATAAGGAGCTTCGTCGGTTGTTTGATTATTACATACATGTGCAGGTTCGATTTGTTAGTAAGCAGAACAATAGGATAGAAAATCTAACAGCTAAGAAGATTCTTTATTTGTTTCTTATGGCGTGTAATGGTTTTGACTTTCGTGCTTGGCTCATGTTTGGAGTCTTGAATATTGTATTTATTTGTTCATGTTAATGTTAATGCAAGTGATATTTTAGTGAGAAAAAATAAGAAAGATGGAGGTGGGAAGAAAGGGAGGTGGCTTTAGGGCATTGTTTTTGCTTGCATGTTATACGTATGGTTTCACATTTGCTACGAGATTCAAAACTATTGGAGATCGACAATTTGTATGAATCAAGGGTTCTAAAAGTTATGTTTGAACTTACATTTAGGAGCCAATATTAGACATGACTTAACAAAGTCAAAACGTCTTGTTTAGAGGTTTCTGTGACAAGTTAGGTATTCAGAGAGGTTCTGTGACAAGTTAGGTACTCAGATGTGGTGATGGAGTAAGGTGACACGGAGTAATTAGGCGGAGGTAGGTAATATCAAATGCGAGTACTTCACAACATCTATAAACTCAATCTTCTATCATAAACCAACTGGTTCCAAATCCCATCTTACCCTATGGATTGATTTGATAAGCAGGTAAAAAAAGGTTAAATAATAATGTGATTCCTCCTCCAGCTAGCTCGCTGCTTCTTTTCTCCACGTCCATACATATACCGATCTTCCTCTTCAATTTGCCCACTATTAATTGATGCATCCAAATTCCAAAACCCCATGATCGCGATGGACACATAAAGGTGCAATACCTTTTTTTTCCTGTTTTGTTTGGTTTCGAAAGAGTGCATGGCAGACGCAGAGCATTTCTTCTGTATAAAATCCTCATCATCGGGACCGATATTGCACTGCAAAACATAAGATTCCGATATATCGACGAAGCCATATGTCTTGCCCTCTGGTTGGGCGCGAATCGAAATAGTAGACAATTGGATTGCAATACCAGTTGGAATAAGAGAATTCAGGGCCACAACCGCACCAACTAAGGCTGCATTAATTTGCAGCAGCTATAGGTGAATATCAATATGGAATAAACAGAGAGAGACATATATGCAATATGCATGGACCATCTCAACGTCTATTTATTTAGATGAGCTAAGCCAACCATACATGCATTCTTTCTCCGCTTATGGATTCCTCACTACCTACGTACGTACATGAGATATTGAAAGTCATCATCAATAATACTCGAATTCGTGATCACGAAAGTTAGAGGAAGAAAAAACAAGATTAAATGGATCCGCATAGTTTTGGACTTTAATTTGAATTGTTATGTTTTATTTTTGTAGTTAGTTCGATCTCTAAAAACAAAATGGTACAGTTTGTCATGTAGTTTGCCATTGAAGGTCAACGATGATTGAGAAACTCCCAAATTCCGGGGTTTCAGTTTTCCTCAAAATCTTTCAACATACACAGTATTAGAAATTTAATGTATAGATACCTTCGTATATCGTCAATCAAGATCGTTCACGAGAAATCTAGAAGTATGTATGTATTTACAGCCTGTTTGGATTGACAAAAAATAAGAAATTGGAATTCCATTTCCAATTTCATTTCCATATATTATGTTTGGAATAATAAAAAGTTGAGAATTGAATTCTATTGAGTCTAAAATTTGGGAATTACAATTCCTATCAAAAGTGATAGAAATTGAGAGAATGAATATGGAATTAGTGGGACTCATCAATACTTTTTATTATTTTATTGACCCACTATCATTTTACTCTCTTTCTCTCTCATTCATATTTCATTTCCCAAAATAAAAAAAACATATTACATTATTTATTATTTTTAAAAGTGCAATTCATTTCCATAGTTGTAGGAATTATATCAAACACTAGAATTGAAAATGGTATTCTATAAAAATAAAAAATGGAATTCCATTTCCATTTTTTTCGGAATTGTATCCAAACAGGCTGTTAGCGTAATTGGAAGAATGCACTGCTTTTTTTTTTATAAGGGTGATATAGGTTTCTTGTTTGTAATTAAGGTATTATTTAAGAGATTTGAACCTGAGACCTCCAGATTCTAAGCTAACGATATTACCACTTGACCAAACCCTTGTTGGTCGGAAGAATGCACTGCTTCCTTACTAGCTATAGTCCTCTGGTTGTTGCCTTCTTTCTTTCCCTGATTCGATTCTCTCTTTCACGGAGAGAATGTACGTATCAATTCCATCTCCCACCATACATATATATATATACGTAGAGGATCGGAGTGGACATATATTAATTATTCGTCATCACGAAGGATCGGCTGTAGTTTTCAGCCTCTGAGATTTGGCCACGCGTACGTTATATTCACAAACCTATATGTACGGACAATACTATTCCTATCGTTTTCCTTTTCCCACAAACGGCCTTTGTAGTTGTAGTCGTTGGTAGTACTGTGTAGAACCCAAACCGGCGGCCAAGAGCCAGATTAATCCATTGCTAGGGTCGCAAATTCAATTCCTTCCCGCGTTCAATTCTGCTACTTTAATAAATTAAGTTCCCACGTGCCTACTTCTTTAGCCAATGAATCTCTCTTGCCAGTGCCACAATGTTATTCGGATCCGACTCGATAGTTTTCGACATAATTAATAACCCTTGATTGAAAGTTCAATTAATCAAAGCCATAAAGATAAAGGTTGACAAAGACGTATAAACAAAATCATATATGTGAAAGTTTGAGAATGGATCAGATTTGTGGTGAAACCCGCAAAGGGCTCTTTGCCTCAAGGGCTGGTATATATACTGCGAGTTAACTCGCCTCTGTACAATCAGTTTAATTACAACGGATATAAACAGAATCAAAGCTAACTACCAATCAGAAAGCAACACGTGTTATGTACAGTATTAATTGAAACGAACTAAACACTGAGTAGAACGTCATCGTTTCTTCACCAGCTCCTCAACTGCTTCTGGTTAAAACGTCGTCGTGCTACAAGCTCTTCAGTGTTCATCAGACAGCGTCATCCCCTGCAGTCATTCCCAGGAGCATCACCTTCTCTAATATGCCCCCTCAAGCTGACATACATGTCATGTATGTTCAGCTTGGATAACAGATGTTCCAGACGATGTCGACTCAACCCCTCGGTGAATAAATTAGCAATTTGGTTCTCTGTTTCAAGGTGGTTGAGTTGTATAAGCTTGGACTGCAAGAATTGATGAACAATGTGACAATCTATCTCTATGTGTTTCGTTCTTTCATGAAACACCGGATTCTCAGCAATATAAATTGCTGATCAATTGTCACAATAGACTTCTACAGGTTGAGCATGTTCAATATGGAGTTCCTGTAGAAGTCTTTTCACCCAAACGACTTCACATGTAAGCTGAGCCAAAGCTCTATACTCAGCTTCAGAGGAGGATCGAGATATTGTTACCTGCTTCTTTGACTTCCATATAATCAATGCTCTTCCCAGGGAAACACAGTATCCTGTCGTTGAGCGCCTTGTATCTGGGCATGAAGCCCAATCAGAGTCACTGAACCCCCTAATTTGAATGTCAGATTTAGAGGGATAAAACAATCCCTGTCCTGGAGCATTCTTAAGGTACTTCAGGATCCTGTGAGCCAGCTGCAAATGTGTCATAGTTGGTGCAGCTTGATACTGGCAAAGTTGCTGGATAGCAAAGGTTAGATCTGGTCGAGTGATGGTGAGGTAGTGAAGTCGACCAATAATCTTCCTGAAAAGTGTCCCATCCTCAAGTAATGGTCCGTCATCCGCACTTAATATGGTCTTAATGTCTATGGGAGTGATTACAGGCTTGGAATCTGCAAAGCCAGTGTCTTCCAACAAGTCTGTGCAATATTTCTTTTGGCAGATGTATAATCCCCCTTGTGATCGAGCAATTCCTAGACCCAAGAAATAGTGAAGTGTGCCGAGATCACGAATCCTGAACTGAGATTGTAAGAACTGTTTAAGTGCTGTCATGACTTGATCATCATCCCCAGCAATGATGATATCATCAACATACACCAGTAAAATTGAAATTCCAGAACTTTTGTTGTAGTGAACAAACATAGAGTAATCACTGTTGGATTGAGTATAACCAAAGCTGATAAGAGCAGAAGTGAGCTTTGCAAACCACTGTCTTGAAGCTTGTTTTAAACCATATATGGATTTTCTGAGACGACAAACCTTACCTGGTGCAGAAATACCAGGAGGAAGATCCATGTACACCTCTTCCTGAAGGTCACCATGCAAAAATGCATTGCTGACATCCAATTGGGACAGTTTCCAATTCCTTGCTGCAACCAAGGCAAGCAAAGTCTTGACAGAGTTGAGCTTGGCAACTGGGGAGTATGTATCAAGGAAATCGATTCCATAGATTTGTGTGAATCCTTTAGCCACCAACCTGGCTTTGTACCTTTCTATGGAACCATCAGGGTTAAATTTAATGGTGAAGACCCACTTGTTGCCAATAGGTCTCTTTCCACTAGGGCAATCCACTGTATCCCATGTGTAATTAGCTGCTAGAACTTTCAGTTCCAAGTTCATAGCATCTCTCCAACATTTGTACTGCATTGCCTCCTCAAATGTCTTAGGAATGACAGTAGTTTCAATTGCACAAACATACTTCATGTATCCTGGAGTTAACTGATCATATGATAGACAGGCAACCAAAGGATATCTTTGCTTGTCAATGCTTGAGTTTACATGCATAACAAAGTCATTATATTTCACAGGTTTGATTGGGATACGAGAAGATTTCCTAAGTGCAATGGGAAGTGTAGAAGGGGAGGCTGGCAGGGTGATAACAGGTGTTGGAGAGGAGGTTTGCACTGGAGATGGAACAATAGGACTGGGAGAGGCTTGAGTTGGAGTAACTGGAGCAGGAGAAGGAGGTGTAACAGTCTCTTGGACTGGAAAAGTAGTTTCTGGAATTGGAGTTTGAGTAGGAGGTTCAGAAGAGGAGGAGAAAAATGGTTGATCTGTGAAGGTTTGTTGAATAGGAGTATGGTCAGGTGAAGTAGAAATGCTAGGGGAATCAAGACAAGGAATGATATTCTCATGGAATGTAACATCTCTAGAGTAAAAGACTTTCTGTTCTGTGAGATCAAAAAGTTTATACCCTTTTATGCCTGGATTGAATCCTAAGAATACACATTGTCTTGCTCTGGGAAAGAATTTGGTTCGATTATGACCTAAAGTGCTGGCATAGCACAAACATCCAAACACCTTAAGGTGAGACAAATCTGCAGGTGAGCCATACAGGACTGAATATGGAGTTTGGTTGTTAAGAGCAACAGTAGGCAATCGATTTATCAGGTAAACTGAGTGTAGAATGAAATCAGACCAAAACTTCAGGGGTAGACCAGATTGGAATTTTAAAGATCTTGCCACATTGAGAATGTGTTGGTGTTTTCTTTCCACCCTGGAATTCTGTTGTGGTGTCTCTACACAAGATGTTTGGTGTGTAATTCCATGGGAAAAATAAAAGGATGGAATGTGAAACTCAGAACCTTGATCTGATCTAACAGTCTTAACTCTTGCCCCATACTGGTTTTGGATCATAATGCAAAAATCCTGTAACAATTGCCTAGCTTCACTCTTAAGTTTCATAAGATAGGCCCAAACACATCGTGACTTGTCATCAACAATGGTGAGAAAGTACTGGAAACCATTGTAACTAGTTACAGCCAAAGGACCCCAAATGTCTACATGAATAAGATCAAAAACATGTTCTGCCATAGAAAGGCTTGAAGAAAATGGAAGACGCTTTTGCTTGGCAAAGTGACAAACAACACAGTGATGTATAACTTCTGTATCTATACTAGGTATGGACTTCTGCAACTCTTTGGTTCGAAAGAAAGATGGATGGCCAAGTCTCCAATGCCATAAATCAAAAGTCTGTGGTGTGAGGTTTGGTGTCTTGATGGAATTGACAAGTATTGGTGAGTCTCCAGTGTGGCAAGTAAGTTGATAAAGACCCCTAATCTCGCGGGCAAAACCAATCCTCTTCTGGGTGAGTAAGTCCTGAATGTCACACAGATTGGATTTGAAAGTGAGTGTGACTTGTAGAGTCTTAGTAAGTCTACTGACTGAAATCAGATTAAAAAAAAAGGCTGGTACATACAAGACATCATGTAAGATGAGCCCTGATGACAATTTAATGGTTCCAGATCGAGTAGCAGGTGTTTTAAAACCATTAGGAAGGGTAATGAAAATGTTTTGGACTGGGGTATGTGAAACAAATGAACTCATTATGCATGTAACATGATTAGTGGCTCCTGTATCAAGGAACCACACATTGA